TCTTTATAACAATATGTTAGATACGATAAAATTTCAACACTTTACTCCAGCAATACTGATCTGGTGTAACGCTCCAGAAACAAAGAAAACCCACTTGTTCCACCGCCTCACGCTCTGGAGAGGACAAAAAGAAAATGTAACAAAAAAACGCCCCCAGCTGACCTGCAGCTGTAGAATTGGATTTGCCCACGGTGTCATATTCTAAAATAAGTTCAGTGTCTATTTTCTGGCACGGAGTCAAAACGACGACAATGTAATAGCTCCCGGAGTAAGCTCGCTGTGGACAATAAACCGAACTATGCAGTTTATTGACGGTAATTACTCGTAATTCGGCGATTACTCGCACCGTTTGGCGAACAATGATTATTGAAGTAGAAACCTTCAGTAATACTACCACAGACTTAGTGGTAGGTACACCTGAATTGTATTGTCTGAAGTTATTTTTCGTATTCGTTTTTATTTATTTAATGACTTGCCACTTGTTAAAAAAATTAATGACATAAACTCTTGCACCAGAAGGATCAATCAAGAGTAATATTTTATGAAAATACTATCGCGCAGTTCATTAAGTTGTTGATGTTTCAAAAATCAATTTGTTTTTGTTTTCAGAACTGAGAAAGGTTCATTTAAAATAATTTTTTTACAGTTTAAATATATTTATTTTTGTCTGCTTCCATAACTAGACATCATAAGTATAATGTTTAGTTATTAACTGAAAAATATTTGTCATTATTGCGTGAACGGAAAAAAGTTATGAATGGATTTCACATTTTAAATTTTTATTTAAATTATTATTATTATTAATTTTTAAATTTTAAAAACCACCAAAATACATAACTGAATGAATCGATTACCTAGTATAAGAATTATTTAAAAAATTCAAAAATGTTTCAAGACCTTTGAGGCCATCTAGCGGCCAAACGAAGCGAATTCACAAAATTTTTCTTATATGGAGATAGGTCCGATTCGTTTTTGTTTAGAAGTTACGAACATTTAAAAAATATAATTTCATATTTCAATCAAAGTAGCCTGGTAAATAAAAATGATGGCTGATATAACAATAATTATTATTGAAGTTACGAACATTTAAAAAATATAATTTCATATTTCAATCAAAGTAGCCTGGTAAATAAAAATGATGGCTGATATAACAATAATTATTATTTGTGTCGTTTTTGTTTAGAAGTTACGAACATTTAAAAAATATAATTTCATATTTCAATCAAAGTAGCCTGGTAAATAAAAATGATGGCTGATATAACAATAATTATTATTTGTGTCATTTTGTTTATTCACTTGACACTTTGCGTTGAAGAGCTAAATAAAAAATGCATTTATATACAGGGTGATTCACAACTCAATGGACATAGAACAGGTGCATGTAGAGGACACCAAAACGGTTGCGAAAATATTGGCCTCAAAAAATGCCTTAAAAAATCGAAAAAACTCGGTATTTCAGCAATGCTTTAATACGGAACGGCCAAATTTTGTAAATATACAGGGTGTCCCTGAAAAGGATGGACAACGCTTGACCACAGGTTCCTTGGATGAAAATAAGACTATTTAGCCAAACTTATCTATATACAAAAGTGCACGCCTACTGAGATATGGCCTTCTAAATATAGAATAGATTACCTATTTTTTTAAAATAATTTGAAAACTATTTTTCTTAGAAACTTCAAATTTGGTACACTTATTTTTTTATATAAGGGCAAGGTAAATATAGAATTTGGAGAGAATACATATACAGGATGTTCTATTTCTAGTGCCTGTGCGCCACTGGCTATCCCGTAACTTTTTTGTGTGTNTATGACATTATTTCTGTAACGAAATTGAAATGGTTATGAAATGAAATTTAAATTATTTGAACTTTTGGGGTTTTGTAACTTCAATATTAAATCTTATTTAAAGTGAAACAGCTAATTTCTTTGCAGCCATAATAGTCACATTTGGTCAGATGAAACACACTACTACCCGCACACTACTCGTCGGTGGTATAGCTTTCAGAGGAGATTCGGTGTCAATGTCAATGGCGATCGTTTAATTGGGCCGCATTTTCTACCTGAACATCTGAATGGGCCGCGTTACTAATTTTTAGTAGAATTGTTTGAAAACCTTCCCCTTCGGGCTTACAGCAAATGTTGTTAAAATATTAAAATTATGATGCTAATAAAAACTGATTTTTGGCAAGGCATGCTCAGACCTCGAGGTTCTTGCTGGGCAACAATAACAATTTAATATGTTGATTGCATAAATAAAAAATAATTTATAGCATTTTAAATTATTATTGGTTGACGTGAGCAAAACCGTTTATTTATTGTCTTTATATGAGCGAAAATATATAAATATGGCAACGTTGCATCTAGGGCGCGTTGTTCATAGGTTCATATCGTAGCCGTGCATAATATTGTGACGTCAGCCGGTCAGTAACAGCCTGAAAAGGGGGTTAAATAATGATTTGAAAATATTTTTTTTCAGCTTAAATATGCATTTAAATTTTTTTTAATCACGCCATCGTATTATACTCATTTTTCTCTATCTGCTCTTAAAATTAATGACATTATGACTGAATCACCCTGTATAGGTAAGTTAGGCTAAATAGTCTTGTTTTCATCCAAGAAACCTGTGGTCAAGCGTTGTTCATCCTTTTCAGGGACACCCTGTATTTATTTTATTGACGTATTTAGCTAGTAGAAACTTGAAGTGACCCAGCATCTCAAGAACCCTTAAAATTTTATTAATTTTTTCAACTCTAATTTAATTTACAATTAAGGTCTGCCAGTTTAATAGCAAATTCAATTTTACACTTTTTTTTATTCTTGTCAAATTTTCGAGAAACCGTCCATTTTTGAGAAAATCGCGATTCTGTGATGAATGTCAAAACCGATTAAATCGAACAAAAATCTGTGACCTCCAGCCAAGGATGATTTTTTGTAATTTCATCCTAGATCAGAACATTCGTTTCTACAGGATCATTCTTTTCACGGATAAAGGATTATAAATATCACAACAGAACAACAGTCATGAATATTCAGATCAAAATCTACATGCTACAGTAACCCATCATTACCAAAGAGAGTTTAGAATTAATGCGTGGGCAGGTATTGTTGGGCAATATTTGGTTGGTCCAGTTATTTTACCAAACCGCTTAAACGGTGTCACTTATTTGGATTTCTTATAAAATACTCTTCCTGAACATCTGGAAGATTTGCTTTTACAATTACGCCGTGAAATGTGGTATGGATGTTCAAAAATTTTTAAATCAACAGTTTCCAAATCGATGGGTAGGTCGTGGAAATAACTGCCCTCAACACTGGCCACCGCGATCGCCCGAGTTAAATAAATGTGACTTTTTCTTTGGGGGATTTTAAAAAAAATTTGTATATTCGACTCCTGTTGAAACTGAGGAAGATTTATGGAACCGCATCAATATAAATACCCAATTATAAAAAATGACATTCAATTATTGAATAGAGTAGACATTGACTTTCGGCGAAGGGTTCATTTATGTGTAAGAGAAAATGGGAGCCGTTTTGAACAGCATCTTTAGTGTTAATTTTTTACTTACTTAATTAGTTTCATAGAAATAGTACTGTTTGTTAAATTTTGCCTTGAACGAAATGAATAAATAATTTAATAAAGCGACAATTTTATTTCTTGTTTGCAAAAAATCTTCCAAATCTGAATACCGACAGATTTAATCACGGCCTACTATTAAAAGTTGTTCCAAAAAGTTCCTGCTCTAGAGTACCTTGGCACCAATTTTATTTACTGCATGCATGTCTAAGTTAAATTTTAAAATTTAGAAGATGTACAAACTCACATTTTCGTATTTATTTTTAAATTGTGAAATCTGTGAATTGTTTCAAAAGCCACATTCTCCTACGGTCTGAAGGTGCCAAAACTCACATTGTCTATACCCAGCAATGAAAAAGCTTAAAGCGATAAACCAATATGGCCAACTGCCTAAGGAGAATGTGAGTTTTGCTTCTCTTATTGTTTTGCTTTCCTAGATGGTTCCGTTCCGTGTTTTTCTATGAATTTCTGATTAAAAGTAAGATAAGTTTAGTTCTGAAGTTTCATATTTAAATATCTATGAAGAGAAACAAAGCTAAGATATTGAAGTCAGTTTGATTAAAACAAAATATTATGTAGAATAATTTGGAGCAAAACTACCATTATCCAAAAAGTTGTATCAAAACTCACATTATCCAAACTTTAATTCACTTTCTTGGAGTCAAATATTGTTGTGCTGTCAATTCACCAATTAAGAAGCAAAGTTAAAGTTCTAATGCAATACAAAAAAAAAATCGGAGCCTTAAGTCACTTAAAAAGTGAGAAATCAGTTATTCCTTCTTCCTGAAAAATTTTAAAAAGTGGATAATGTGAGATTTGCATCTATACCCTTCAATACCCGCTGCAATAGAGAGATACCTATGTGATCCATTTGGTAAAAAACAAGATTATAATAGCGAAAATAATCAGTGGGGTTAAAGAAACGGTTCAAATTGACGAATCAACGGCAGCACGATCTCTTTTACTAATTGTTGTAAGACGTTCTTTTGAGAATCTGTGCCATATATTAAAATCGAGAATGTTATGGATAGGACATAGATATTGACATGTTTGACAAGATTTTTTGTTTTCGTTCATTTTCTTCAATAGAAGAAATAACCTTTTTTTATTTCATTTATTCATTACAGTACCGCGCGGCATATGGTAATTAACTCTTGTAAATTACAGGACTAGTCTTAATATGTATTCCGGTTTATCTTATTTTAATTTTTATTTATTTCAACAGAATATTTTTAAATATCCACATTATAGTGAGATGAATACTTCATTTTGCCGCATTCGAAGGGCCATTTTCATAATAAAGCGAAATACAAGCTAAATTAACTCTTAAAATTAAATATTAAAAAATGTTTAAATCTTAAAGCACTATTAACTCCATTATGAAATCGGCCCTAAGTAGGCATAAAAATAAATTCTAAACTAACCTTATAGGTGGCAGTTCTATGTCAAAACCTTTCGATTCTTCTTTGCCCTCTTTCAACGAAGGGGTCTCTATTTTGGGCAACTTAACATCCGCTTGAACTTGAACATCCAATTCAGGTTTCTTTTTGGCAATGACGGTAGTTATCACCTCCGCCTCCATTGGTTCGTCCTTTACCAGCAATTCTTCCTGAAAACAATATATAGAGTTTAAGATGTCACTCAAATAGTACACATTCTTCTAAAGACATCCTAGTTATTGGCGATAGTTGCGGGGGGCCTCTGGAACGCCGCCCCCTTGAAATTTTCACAGTAAAAAAAATTCATTTAAAATTTAGTTTACAATGTTATCCAAATAATTACACACACATTAAAATGGAAATGTTAAATTTGTAAAGTGCAGTCAATTTAACTCGACTGACAAAATTCATTTGAAAAATACTGAATACGTATGGGCTCCTTGTATCTCGTCCCTAAATCTGTAAAATGTTTACAACTGTGGTCGTGGTTACTTCGCGCGCAACAGTGAAAGACGGAGTGGGAGTGGCGCATATTTACTATTTACTTGGATTCTGTTTAGTCGCCCGTAACCGAATAATAGCTATTCACCGCTTTTTTTTTCTCATTAAACGTAATGTGTTTACGTATATTGTAATTTTTTTCCTACGTACTGTTTCTTGTGTGTTTGTTAAAAGATTGAAAAAGATTAAATTAAACTGTAAAGACAAAGTAACAGCACTTGCAATACTATCTATTGAAAAGTCAATGGTAGGGGAAATACCAAACTTTAAGCAAAAAGTAATTAAAAAGTTTATTTAGGACAAAAGCAGCAGAAAGGACTTTAACTATAAAAAATAATGTTGTGCATATTTTCCCTATATTTCAGCAGTCCTTAAAATATAAGTATGGAAGCCAAACGCCGTCACTGATCTTACTGTTGTTGTTCTGGTATTTTGTACATCCAAAGTTAATCCGTTTAAAGCCCATATGGATAATGGATATCCGATATCTTATGGAGATACAAATGTCACAGATGGATAATGGGTATCTTATGGAGATGCTATGTTCTTTATCGATGTATTTTGATAATGACAATACTATCCTTTAGTCAGCACTGGTTTTCTCGAAAACGATTAGTTGTATCAAAAAAATGTAAAGAACTAAAATTTAAGATCATTCCATTACTGATTAGATGGTGAAAATAAATTTTAAAATTTTTCACCGCAAATAGTTAAAATAAAATTTTAAAATAGGATGTGCATTTTAACTCTTCATCAGCCAATATCTCGGAAACGGTTGGTCTGAGAGATTTCAACCGAGTATCTTTTTTTGCTTAAAATTAATAGGGGAATAAATGCACTGATACGAAATGTCAATGTACAGGGTAGCAAAAAGTTAAGCCAATTTAATTCGAGCGTACCCTTATAGATGGCGCCCTCTACAAGCAGCGTCAAAAGCAATGACATATTTAAATTTAGCATCCTAAAAAACTCCCATACCATAAATTATATGCCAACATTCAAATCTGTTTAGAAATTATTCCTAAAAAATAAAAACTTTAACACCCTGTATATCGAAAACTATGCATTTGTGGACCCACGTTTGTAGGAAAAAAAAGTCTTATTCAAAAATACGCCCGTAAATTCTTTGTACTACATTTTGAATCGATCTATGTACATAGGCTCCTCCTTCTATAAAAACGCCGCAAAATCGGGAGATATTTTGCATGTTTGTTTGTTTGTATACAGGGTGCTTCAGAACTTATCCACACAAGACGTTTTTGACACTAACTACTAAAAAACTATTGTAAACACCACAGATAACAGGTAAACACCAGGGATGGGCGTTTACGCGTCGACTTTAATTGTCGACGTCTACGTGTAGACTTCGCGTAGACTATGTAAACAACGTAGACTATGTAGACAATGTAGACAAAGCGGAGTTTGCGCTCTAATTTCAGTTTAATCTAACCTATATTATATTTGCGTTACATTTACGTATGATCTATTTTGTGCTGTACTCAATTCATCACTCAACTTTTTCTGTTTGGCTGTTTTTACATAAACATAAAATGAGCGGACGTAAACATAGAACATAGACATAGAAATTGACCAAAAAAATATCAAGTTAATTTAGGGTTGAAGTCAGAAAGTTGGTTGAGGGTTTGCTNAATATCTACACAAAGTGTTCTTAAAACTTAATCAGATATTCCAAATTGTTGCTGACTTTAAAAATGATAAAATTTTCATTAAAGAATATATGCGACATATCTTTATTTAGAGATTTTATAGAAAAAAAAAGGTTGGTCAATCTGACCTGACCTAAAACTATCGAGGAGCATCAAGCGAGACTTTTTTTCTCGTGAATTCTCGGCAGATATTGTTTGATCTTTTGTACTCGGTTCATACATTTTTTTTATAAATGGTTGTGATAGGTAGGTACTTTTCCAAATTCCAAATTTTCAATTTTTCTTTTTTTGCAAGAATCACAAGTTACAGCCTTACGAAATTCTTTTTTTGAGGTACATACCTACCATACCTTTTTTTCTAGTTTTGAGAGTTTCTTAATTGTTGACATTGTCGACATTGTCTACATTGTCGACTCTTCCAAATTAAGTCTTCATCTAGATCAAGGGTCGGCAAGTAATTTTAGGTGGAGTCCAGATACTTTTGAAAATTTTTAACGAGGTCCAGAAAAAACCTCATATTCTTGACTAATTTTTTGTTTTAATTTGCACTCACAAAATAATATGAAATACAACAGATAAGCAATTTGCATTCAAAAATCAATGGGAGAAATTACATTTGCGGTCTTGAGTCAGTTTTTTTACTAACCTACTAACCATGAAAAATGATAAGGGTAGCATTCAAACGTATTGTTATCTATAGAAAAATATATTTTTTAAATAATTTGAGTGATTATACTTTCAAAACATTTTTGGCGGTCCAGTTTTTACCTTCCGGATCTGGACCGCGGTCCGCCAGTTACCGACCGCTGATCTAGATCATTGTCTACATCGACATTGTCTACCCGCCCATCCCCGGTAAACACTAACGCAACGACGATTGTAAAATCGGATTTCAGTATTCGGAGTCGCTGAGACCACGTGGCTGGCTCTCCACGCGTATTGCGAACGACGCTGGAGACTACAGTTATCCAGCTAGGTAATGGTTGAATGTAATACAACTTCAATAATTATTTTCTCAGAAACTATAAGGATTTTACAAAATTTCTTTTAAAGATATCGACTCCATTTCTCATGCCACATCTATTCCCAATTTTTTTTGGATAAGTTGTGAATCACCCTGTATAATAAATATTTATTACCATTTCCAGCTCAGATTCTTCCGTATTACACAAAGATGAATGGGTCATACTGCTTTTGGATGAAGACACAGTCGTCGATCCGACCGATTTCTTTGTCTTCTTTGGCTTTTCCTTAGAAAGTTCCATCAATGCTTGCTCAATTCTTTCTCCGGGACTCTTCAAACAAAGACAGTCAACACCAAGCTCGCACTGGCAGGGCTCCGGCTTTTGGTCTTTTTGATCGGTTACCACTCCTGTCGGCTGGGGTCTTATAGGGACCATCCTCGTAGTCAAGCAATCAGGCGGGGACGGAGGAATTGGCTCATCAGGACTCCAGTTCGGATGACCGATATCGACGACGTTAGTATGTACGTAAAAATGTAGACCGATCACTTTTCTCAGAGCGTCTACAGCGCAGTCTACCACCAGGTTCATTACATCATTTTCCTGGATAATCTTGCTTACTTGGTTTAAGGTATTCCCTACAATTTCTTCACGAATGGAAAATATAAAGTTGTCTTCGTCCTCCTCGTCATATATCTTCCTCCTGAAACGTAGACGCTTTTGAAAAAGAACAACCAACGATTTTTACCTCTTACATGTTGAGGGGGCTGGCCCTAATTTTAAGCAGACTCATATTCACTGATATCAACACCCACAAGTCAAATTACAGAAAAATCTTATGACATTTGCAAAAAATTACAAAGGTACTTATCTATTTTTGATAGAAACTGTGTATGTACGTGTCAGTTATGCGAAAAAATATGAAAGACACTAATGCCGATAAAAGTTCAAATCATTCCAGGGGCCTGTTTTTTGTAAGTATTCGCTTTTCTACATTTGTAAAATGAAACGTGAAAAGTTGAAACGTACTTTCAAAAAATAGGCCCCAAGTCTTTTTATATCATATCCACAGTTCGGACTATACAATTTTTAATTTGATCAGTCGCGTTAATCGGCAGTAATGCAGTATCGAAACTAAGTTACAAGTTTTACCAACTGGACAATAAAGTGTGATAGAAATAATTAGAGTACCAACTTCCTCTCTGTTATTGGACGATTGTGACGTGCTTTTACAGTGCACCAATCAACTGCTGCAACAAAAAAGGATAGCTATAGTGCTTTATTACATCGGCATCTATATTTATTCAATATCAATCAAGCTTATTTAGTTCAATTGGTTCAACAAAGTTTAAATTTAAAGTATTCAAATTTCCAGGTAAATGTAAATCCAAATTTTAAAATGTAACATAAGAGGTTAATTAATTCGTATTCCATTTGAGACAGTACAAAAATGAATATTCTGCAACTTACATTTGCGATTTTGAAGCCACACATTACTAAAAATCCCATCGCACTCGAACAAATAAAATACATAATCTTAACCTCAAAATTTAAAATTGTAAAATCAAAAAGAAAAACCATTACGATGCAGGAGGCCGAAGAATTTTATGTGGAACACAAACACAAATTCTTTTATAATAGATTGGTTACATTCATGACAAGGTAAATGTATTATTTAATTAGATTTCACAATAATTATTTTATTGTAGTGGGCCTTCAGATCTCTTAATTTTAGCTAAAGAAAACGCTATAAAAGACTGGAGAACTTTAATGGGCCCAACGAAAGCTTACAGAGCACATTTTGAAGCACCGGACAGTATTAGAGGAAAATTTGGTCTTTCCGATACGAGAAATGCTACTCACGGATCTGGTAAGTAAAATGCTTTTCACTGAAATTATTCAGTGATGTCTGAGTTGACACTAAAATGACATATATACTGATTTTTGACCACTGGGTTCAACTCGAAACATTAAAAAAAATGCATGATCAAGGGATCAATAATGTTGAATTAAGTGACCCAAAAATTACTTTCCAATATAAATAAAGAAAAATTATGTAATGTTAGCAATCTTGGTTGTAATAAACATGAATATGTGTAATATTTTATGTTACCCTGAACTGTGAATACTGTTTATCAGTAATTATCCTATCTTAGTGAAAATGTTCATAACAGGTTAGATTATTAAATTTATATCGATACATAATAGGTACTTCTGACATTAATAAGGCTTGTTTGTTACTTATTGCTATGAAAACACAGTTGCTGTTCCAGAATGCAACAAAATGTATTCATTTATTCTCCCTCTCTTTTGGATGAAAAATGCAATAAACAGAACGGCATTATACATGTATACAGGATGTCGAGCTTTCAAATTGAGCTACGGTGGCCTACCTGTGGGTTGAGCCTTTACGAGCTATTTGAAACATTGGGTCTCGGCAGATGTAAACAGAAAATTTAAAATGTTCAAATTTAGATTTATCGCTAAAATATTGTCTCTAAAAGATCAGAACCGGCACATAATGGCAAGATAACGACTCGCCATGATCCGATCGGTCAGGAAAAAGCATCAGACAAAATTTATTTTGACGTGTTTATGACGTTTGGAAAAAATTAATTGAATTTTAATTAAAAATACTTGTGGCCATATTTTGTTAGGGAACCCAGCAGAAACATATTCCTCTATTCATAATTATCTATAAAAATTGTATTTCGACTAAAAAACAGATGAACGTAGTAATCTCGCAGTCGGATCTTAGACTGTATGACACGCGTGAGTATCAAAACAAATCTTGTAGAAAATTTCATAACAATTTCATTGGTAATGTTTTTTTTCTCTAAACTGCATATTTACAAAGTTCTATTGGAAAATCTGAGAAAAAATACGTCATTTCTGCATATTTTTGCACTTTTTGATTTTTCCTGCAAATAGGACAACTTTTTATATTTTCATTGTGGTACCTATATATTTTTACCAATATCTAATCTACATCAAGCAACAGCCATGCCAATATGTAGTAGTCCTGGACTATAGGGGTGTGTCTGCCCCTACAGAGCCTAGTCTGAGAACAAGGTTAAGTGCAATGAGTCTGTAATTGGCAGTAACCAGGTACATACACTATTGGACAAAAGTAAAGCAACATTTATGTAAAAAATGCAATTTTGACTTTGTCTAAAGTTGATAACAAAAAATGAAGAAAATAACGTAATTTCAAGCGCTACGTAGTAGGCTGCTGCCATTCAATTATTTGGTTTTAGGTTTGACGGTTCAATTTTGTTGCTATATGGTTTTTGTCTTAAGTGTGATAATTTCAAGCTGACAAAAATAAAGCAACAGTTATTCATTTTATTTATTTTCGATATTTCTTCTTTTTTAATGTTTAAGTGAATAATCGTTAATCGTACGATATTAACAAGTTTCCTCAAAATGCCTAAAGGTATTGCTATCAATACTGACTTAAAGCAAAGAGTATTAAAGGTGTTTAATAACGGGGAGAGTCAGGCAGACATTGCAGGTCGGTTTGAAGTGAGCAGATACATAGTTTCGAGGATATTATCTAAATTTCAAGAGAGGACATTTAAATAATATGCCGAAGTCGGGCAAACCTAGAAAAACATTGATTAAACGACATTTGTCAAGTCTCAGAATTATGGCGAATATTGGATATTTAAACATCTGTTAGCGCACAGTATGTATGTATGTCGGAGGGTGGTGGAATTGTTTTTCCACCACGGCACTTAGGCCTTATTAGGTCCCTTATACACCCTCCTTCATTACCCGAGTACTTTTCTTCAAACCATCCTATTTACTACAAGGGTGGCTTGGTGGCAAAGTCTCATACAGTTTATGTATGATAGCATGGTCTTGAGTTACAGAGATTTTCTTTGCTCTATTCTCATTACCATTTATCGGAGACCACACGCAAGCGGCAAATGTTGGGCGACCCAGGTCTCTGGTAGGCGCCACAGCCACGTCCCCGAGCCTGCCTTAGGTCACCCATTCAAATTCCAGCCAGCGTCCGTGATGCTTACATCGGCAGATCGAAATCCACCGGCCAAGACACCCGGCTAGGCGGTCCCCGTGAGCGCACAGTTCGTTGAAGGTTAGTCGAAGGGAAGCTTTTTAGTAGAAGGCCGGCCAAGAAACCTTTAATTTTGCCAGAGCTCATTTGACTTGGAGTGAAAATGACTGGAAAAAAGTATTATTTAGCGATGAAACACGTTACAATATGTTCAATTCTGATGGTATGCGTCACGTAAGAAGACCCATAAATCAGAGATTCAATCCTGCTTATGTAACACCAACTGTTAAGCATGGCGGTGGAACTGTATTTTTATGGGGATGTTTTTCCTTAAACGGAATAGGTCTTATCCATTCCATTGATGGAATTATGAATCGTTTTGTGTATAGAGGTATCCTTCAGAACGTTATGATGCCATATGCAGAGTGGGAAATGCCTCTGAGATTCATATTTCAGCAGGACAATGATCCTAAACATACCTCGCAGCTTGTGAGATTGGTTTCGTGGCAATAATGTATGAGTTTTGGATTGCCATCACAATCACCTGACTTAAATCCCATCGAGAACTTGTGAGAAGAAGTAGAAATGAGGATAAGGACAGAAACATTCAGAAACAAAGAAGAATAAAATAATTGAAATTTGGCAAAGTATACCAGAAAACGTTATCCTAAAGTTGATCTTGTCCATTCCCAGAAGGTGTGCAAAAGTTATTGCAAATAATGGTTATGCAATCAACTATTAGTAATTAAGTCTTAAGTTGGGATTATTTAGTTATTGTTAACAGATTTGTCAGATTTTTTTGTTAATTAAATAATGAATTGATAAAAAAAATGAAAAATGCAAAATTAGCAGTTTGTTGCTTTACTTTTGTCCAATAGTGTAGGTCATGGCATAAACCGAAAAATCCCTGTATTTAATAAACATATTTTTAAATGAGAAAACCTTGTACAAATCCTTTGGTAAAATAAGGGCATCATTTAATTGGTACGACATTTTTTTTAAAATGAATAAATTTAAATTATTTAATATGAAACGAAGCTATAGGACGTCATCTAGCATTGTAAATTTCTGAATCAAAAAGTGACCTAAAAAACACTTTTTGGCTATTTCTCTTGCGAAAAAGTGTAATTTGCAATAAAATCCGTAAAATGTTTCAGATTCCGAAGAATCTGCCAGGCGAGAGATTCGAATATTTTTCCCCGAATTCGATGTCGATAAATGGTACCGTGAAGAAGAACCGCTTTTCAGAAACGACAAAGTGGCTTTTTACGAGGAACGATTTCTTCATCAACCAAACACTTGAGTATAAATTAAAAAATAAGACATAACACCATGTTCTTTTATATTAACGCTAAAATTTGTACAAATTAATAAGTCAATTAAAGTATTTACAAAATGCCACATCACTAAAATTTTTTAAGGCAACGTTACGCGTTAATTTTAACGTATACTTTAGGTCTCTGGAACACTTTTATTCCTCCGTCTATCCTTTTTAGTTCCTCTTCTATCTCCATTTTTCGTCTTTTTACCCTTAGCGTGTCGCTTCGCACTGGCAGAGAGTTCAGTTCTTGAATCCGATCTGCATAACCTGCAAATAAGTAAGTTATATTAAATAATAATAATATACCTATTTTATAACCTTCACTCAATTTTCCTATATAAAAGTTATGTTATGACTGTTATGTGATACTTAAAAAAATTATTTCAAGTAATTTTCTAATTGTTCAGATTGCTGGACCAAACTTGATCAAACTTATGTGTGAACTCTGATATGGACACCTTTTTGATGGAAAAATTATGTTTAATTGTAGCCATAGGCGTCACATTTGGGGGGTCGGCTGATATTTTTAATTATATTTTTTGTATCTTCGACTTTTTGGAATTTTTATATCAAAATCCAGAGTATTCTAAATTAAATTTCATAATCTGACATTCACGGCACAGTTATCGGTTACTATATTATTGTTTTCCAAAGCCAACTACTAAATATTAGCAAAGAATTTGTAAGTTTGTAATTATCGTACAAAAAAAAATACATTCAAATAGATTTTTCTCGCTTACGGTACACCCTAGCCACCCAAAATAAGGGTACCTCTTTAATTTAGAATACTTCGAAGTTTTAGATTTTGATATTAAAAACACCAAAGATTCGAAGATAAACAAAATGTAATTAAAAATATCAGTTGGCCGTCCCAAAAAATGTGACGCCTATGGCTACAATAAAAAGATCAGTTTTACATCAAAAGGCTGTCCGTATAAGTTTGATTCTTCTAGATAAACAGCGGTATGAACAACTAAAATAAAAACAATGTCAAAGGGCTATCTTCGAAGAGCCCTACCTCCCTGAAGGATGTCTAACAATTACAAGATATTTTATTTTCTTAATAAAAAAAAAGCTTCTTTTCGTGTTTTAAGGTATCTCGCTTATTGTTAGAGATGGACCCAACAAACCCTATATGATTATGCTGGATAGGGAACGTTCTATCCAAATATGTAGAAATATACAGGGTGTTCCATTTAAATTAACAAAGCATCAACAGCCATTTTGTTTGGACTTCATTTGTTTTTCAACTACCATTTTCAAAAAATTCATAAAACACTTTTGTATTTCACATTTTTTTTATCTCTTAAAGCAAAAAAAGTTAAAGAGGGGGATCAAAATATAGTGAATCACCCTGTACCTCGAAAACGAAAGCCCGGAGAGAAAAATGGAAGAGGAAAATTATGTTCCTTTTTTCAAGAGGAATTTACAGTTTTCCATTGCGACACTTATTTAGGAACACCCTGTATTTGAAAGAAAAAACTAAAAGTTACATTTATATATTAAACACATCATTGAACACAAATTCTAAAACCATTATTTTAATGGAAAAAAAATGGATTTCTTGTAAATACAATTTTTAAATACTTTTGTTGTCAAATCTGAAAAAATCAGTAGAAAGTTGCCTCTCACACTCTTCAGAAAATTTTATATTTCTGTGCCCAAATTTCGTTAATTTGTATATTGAAAACTTAACCATTTAGAACATATGTTCATGGGAACTTTTTCCCCAAAACGGGACATGAATTCCACTATTTCATTTTTTTCATTTATTACAGGGACACTGATCATAAAAACAGAAAAACTCTCCACAAATGTTAATTTTGTTCATATTGGTCGATTAGTTCTTTAACGACTTTCCAAATGGTGGATGTGAGGTACCTTCTGTAGGTAATTCAATTCAATTACATTTCTCATTTTACAAACTGGTTATAGAATTCCCATATGATAGAAATTTAAGAATAATGTCTGTAATCTTAAATTGATAACTCCTTTATTAGCACAATCATACAGCAGTTCAATAGGAGAATTATGGAGAGGATTCTGGGATGATGTATTTTCTCTTATTATGAAAGTTCCTGGTACTCTTAGATTTTTAATCATGTTCTCTCTTGTATTTAGATAAAGGCAGGTCACCAGGTGAAGCAAGTGGTCACCGCTTCACCTAAAATTTCCGTTTGGTTGTGCAATTTAAAATTATTTTTAATTTTATATAAATTTTATAATTTAGGTATAATTCTATATTGAAAATGTATTGTGTTTGTTTGATTGTTTAATACGCAGAAATAAACAGAATAGTTGCGCGGTGAACGCCTTCTAAAAAAACATTGCCTTCGTTGGGCGCCAACATCAATCTAGCACCATACAACGTAAAGTTTAAACAAGTGACGCGGATCAGTCCGTATTCCTCTTCTCTTCATAGCGTTGTTTACGGCGGTTGTCACGGCAACAAGGCGGCCAACATGAGAGTAAACTACAGCGTGGGGAAACGAGTGACGCGAAAATTGAAGCAGCATTGTCATGGCCCATAGCGGCATCGCCTGCATTTAAACAGTCTATGCGATACGCGATGATAACGGTTCTTTGTTAATATTTATTTTGTATAATAATTGTAGAAATGTTTCCTATGTATGATCCAGTATGTATTTTATTGGAAATGCCATTTTCCAGAAGGAAAATTGAGGACAAAGAGGATTTTTTAAATTACGAGAGACCTGCACCTTATTCTTTTGAAAAAGGGGAAGTCAAAAGACAATATGTACGTTCCGAAGTTTCGGAATGAATGGTATTCGGAATATAAGTAGTTATGTGGAAGTGTTTATTTAAAAAAACTTTTATATATGCCGTGTTTAATATGAGTGTAAAGTCGGGCGTGTGGAATAAGGAGGGATTTAAAAATTTTGGGAACGTCACGCGAGTCTGTCGTAACCACGAAGTTTCTTTGGAACATACATATACAGTGTGAGTTAATGTTTGCAGAAATCCACATGCCGAACTAATATTTCTTTATAAATTCTAAATGAAAATCCTTCTCGCGAACGTCAGTTTTTCAGTAATATTGCAAATGCAACAAAAAATTTCCAGATTCATTTAAAGCCGTTTGACCTTGATATATATTTTTTCTTCTTAGTCAGTCAATGAATATGCTTCACCTATTCTCAATGTCACGAGCCTCCACTGCTGAACTGCTGTATTCTAAGATTAAATCTACAAATAGTTTTGTACGAGTATATACGTGTAGCTCTTTTCTTGAAAATTTTATTATTTTTATAAATCGGACTATGAAAATGTTCCCCTTTCATCTTAATTGAATTTGTATGCTCGTCAAAGTTGAGCTTTTGGTCCAAGCAACTCGGAGGTATCTGATTGAAGTCTTGCTTCTGAGCATATGGTTCTGGAGCTGGACAGTGACTTCACACTGGTGATTAAGAATGAAGAATGGTATTTAGTTGGATTGATATTATTTTTATTATTTATTACACCAGATTTGTATCAAACTGATGAGCCACTACAGATTTTCTAGTTTGATTTAAGCTGGAATTGTAGCATATTAAAGCAGCAGCATCAGCATATTGAAGAAAATTTAGATTATTTTCGAATGTATTCATTTAATTCGGATCTGATGTGACAATAAATATCGTCAACAATACCACCTAAGTAAAAAAATGCCAACTTTCCGGGAGACCAAAAAAACTACTTCGTAACTGTGATTAATGAAAACCTGATTACTTCAATTGTAAACCCTTCAAAAATACGGTATTAGACGATGGAGATGCGCGCAATTTAGGTGTTTTTTGGGAAACCTAAATTTTGATAAAAATATCACTTAGGTGGTATTATTTCTTCAGCAACGATATCTAGAGATTGAGAAAGAGAATCTTGTGGTACCCCTTATTGTGAAGAGAATTCCGAACAAAATTTTTGATTAATTTGAAGATAAATTTGAGACCTGCATGCCAGACTGTGTCAAACACTTTACTTATATCTAGAAATCCAGCAGCACTACAAAGTCCAGTTATTCTAGAGGTTTAAATATTTGAAGTTTGCTATTGCAAGTGTATAAATAGAATAGTTGAGACGTTTAACCCAAATTAATAATTAGGAATTTATTGTCCACCGTCATAATGTAAAGGTTTAAGAATAATTTCTTTAGTTTTGCTTATAAATTGGAAAAACAAATCAGAGTTCTACTTACTTTGACGTAACACCCTTAATGTTTCTTTTCTTTCTTCTTCGGGCAACAAAACATGCCCAGCAGGACAAGGTTCCTCGTCTCCTTGCTTCACATCCTCTTCTTTTCTATCCCTTAAGTATTTTGGAACGACACCCCTCTGATAACTAGGAGGGGCTTGTGCAGGTACTTTACTCACAATTTGCTTTACTGTTTTAGGTTTAATATTTGACATATTCTCTTTCACAAAGTCTTTTCCCTCTATATCTGCAACAAATTGTAAGGATGTATTTCACACTTTAAAGGATTTTTTTTTCCTAGTGTTCAGTAAATAAAGTACAGATAGTGTGGTACACCAAATTTTCACCAAAAATTCCTTGATATTTCCAGATCTCCCGGAAAATTTTAAAAAATTTTGTAGACAACAACGGAAACTCTACTATTTCGGATTTTCAGACCCTATCATTTTTCACAGTTTTTGTCTGTCACTAAATATTTAATAAAGTGTGATTATTTTGAATATCAATCAGTGGAGGCCATAAAATTGCATCTTGGTTTTCTTCAAATGAGGAAAATTTTTGTATGACTTAATTGAAAATCTAATTTCCTAATTTGTTTATCCGAAACCAAATAAAGGCAACCTAGAGATATTGGCACTTTTTAATTTAAGAGAAAATGACATTCTTGTAAACAATTAAAGTTAAAAATCATATTTTTTTTAAAAGCGTGGAATTGTTGAAATCGCTAAAATTTTTTTTTTTAATAAATGCAAAAGTATAATGTAGGTACAAAAAATTATAACAATTATGTTTCAGGTCATGTTTAAGTATTTTAAGAAAATGTGGCAAAATTTTTTTTTCAGAAACCTATACCTATTTACTCGTTTAAAAATCACCTACCTAAATTTTGCATACCCTCCTCTATCGCATCTCCTTGCCCTTTCGTCTTGTAGGGGCTGGCCCTAGGGCTTGCCTTCGATCTGGCAACCCCAGGACTGGGATATTTAATAGTACCGCTTTCGTAAAGTTTAGCCAAATCCTCTGCCCGTTCCGTCTGCATAGCTCGGTGTGTAAATTTGCTATTGCGTTGCCCCATAATTTCCGTTTTCTCTTTGCCCCTTTCCAGCCTGGGTCTTAGCGAGGATCTTTTGACAGTTTTTTCCACTTTGAGCCTGTCATTAGATGATGTACGTGGAACAACTGGGGAATTGTCCCTGGACCGTCGTATAGAGGGAACACTTTTAAATTTGTCTTCTTTAGACTGTCTAGGTTGGATAACTCCTGCCTCCTGTAACAGCCCTTGCATTTGTTTGATAGATTTGACATTTTCTCTAATGAAATTTCTTCTGTAAATAGGTTCTAAAATCAATTGAAATGTTACAAAAACAGTTAAATAAATTGGTAACTAACTTACTCGGATCGGGGAAAACTCCTTGCAAAGTCGTGGTATGCATATTCATTATTTTTCATCGAGAAATTTTTACGAATAACAATTAATATAAATACTACCTATACTACATAATTTATTGAGTAAATGCATGACAACAAATTTGATTTAAAATTGTTTACATTATTACCAACATTCAACACAAATAATGCGCGGGTTTTTTGCAGAATATATTTCTAATTGTTCCAGAAATGTTTTATGCTATTGATTACTTCAAAAGGTCAAATGTAAATGTAAATATCAAGTCAAACGGCCAACGATTAATTATTATTATAATTGTACATTAGGTTAAGTTGGTCATTCTGTTTATCGACTCTCTGTGCCATAGAAAAAGAAAACATGTGTATAAGTAGATCAGTTCACATTATCATCACTGGATCAGATTTTATAGGTAACTCCTTTTTAGATTTTTATATCAGATAGATTATCAACAAAAATATCTTTTGATTATTTTAATTAAAGCTAAACATTATTTTATTTTTTAAGTAATATTTATAAGCGGGAATATAAGATTTAAGAATCACCGCTGAAATCTAAATTAAAAATTGAACAAGGGGTGAAACATACAAAATCAAAGAATAAAATATGCGTATTTGCGACAGCCACAATACAACACTTCATTTATATTCTTGTTCCGTATATTGCTTTACTCTTAAGAGTATTTGCTCTAAGGCTTTACTTGTAATCATGACATTTATATCTAAAAAGAAAGCTGTTCATACTTAGCCACTTCGTTGTCTTTGGTTTGTTCGTATTGGCCCGTGGTCCATGATGAAAATCAAAACATGAAAGATGAAGATAGATAAGGTTATGTAAAGATAAAATTCAACTACCTGTTTGATGGATATTTTTCTTTTCTGAACTTCTAATTAAGTTTATTATTACTATAAATATGTCGTGGATTATAGATAATTCATTAACGGTTTTCCAAAAATTTTGTATAAACGTGTTGAAATGTGGACCCGTCCCTAAACACATAGCTTTTATAATGGATGGAAATCGACGATATGCGAAAAAAACAAAAGTAGAAAAAACCGAAGGACACTCCAAAGGTTTTGAAAAACTGGCAGAATGTCTACAGTGGTGCAAAGAGTTGGGGGTAAAGGAAGTAACTGTTTATGCTTTCAGTATAGAAAACTTTAAACGTAGTGAGGATGAGGTAAAAATATACTTTGATTGTACCAAATACTTATCACTTACTTACAGGTAAATGCATTAATGCAATTGGCTAAGGAAAAGTTTCAGAAACTATTGGAAGAGAAAGACAAATTAATGACGAATGGTGTTTGTATAAGAGTAATAGGTAACTTGTCATTACTACCTCCCGACTTCAGAAAACTCATAGCAGAAGCAGTGTTATCAACAAAAGATAATAAAAAAGCAATATTAAATGTTGCGTTTTCATATACCTCAAGAGACGAAATAGCTACTAGTATGAAAGAAATTGTAGGAGGTGTAGATAATCACGAAATAAATGTAGAAGATATCGATGAAAACTTAATATCACAATGTTTGTACACCAATCAAAGCCCAGACCCAGAAGTATTAGTTCGGACATCTGGAGAAGTTAGACTTAGTGATTTTCTTCTGTGGCAGACTTCAAACACCGAGATTTGTTTCGCAAAAGTTTTGTGGCCAGAGTTTTGTGTTTGGCATTTACTGGCTTGTGTTTTTAAATATCAAAGATGTTACAGTGACTTACAAAAATATGATTTGCAAAAGGAGGTGTGCTGTGAAAGGAATAGTAGAGTTACATCATTTTTGGAAAATTTGCAACAGAGGCGATTTGAGCAGTTAGAAACGTATGCCAAGTCGTGTTAAAACTTAGTGTTGTGTGCAACTAAAAAAAAAAGACATTAAATAAAATGTATGATTATTATTCTGTTTCCTGTATTTACAGATTGTGTCATTTTTAAAACGGGGTTTATATGTGGGTATATGTAAATATGTAGGCAAGTTAAGTAGTAAATAAGACTTCTTAATGTTTACAATGAACTGTTAAAAAAGTATATCGTTATAGAAATTATTTAATAAAATTTTAAAAATAAATTTTTTATACAAGGGAATTCTGAAATTGAGGAGTGCATTGGAGTGGGGGGAGGGGTTAATTTTTAAGATACAGGGCATTAAAATTTTGAAAAAAAAAAGAGTATCTTTTGTTATATGTCAAGGAACAAATTTAATCTGTACAACTTATAAATGAAGAGAGAGAGAGAGAGATACCTTTTAATTGATAGAATTTTAGTTCTGTTACTTTAGTTGGTGGTAAGCAGAGCCACCTAGTTTTTCTGAAAAAAATTATACATTTAGATGATACTGCCTAAAATATATCAAAAATAAAATTAGTATTTCTTTGAGTTTAAAGGCAAATTTTTTAATGATTAACTCGTAAATTTATGAATGATATTAAATTAATCCTCATCAGCTAATTATGTGGGACAGAGAAAATAAAACTTAAACGTAGGTAACCGATAACCTGATATACAGGGTTTCAGAACTTATCCAAAAATAAATTTGGATGTGCAGGGGACTCTTACAAATACAATTTTGTAAAGAAAATGAAAACGATTTAAAAATAAACTTCTGCATGGCACTGGAAACTAATCCACTGTAAAACCTGACCTTGTACAATGCTACTGGCATGGCGGCAATGTGTAATAAAAACAGACAAAAACTTTTACAAGGAAAGAAATAAATAGAATTTATTTTATATCGGCAAATTCAACTGCTTTTGCCATTATTCAAAATTTTATCCACCGGCGTGTAAACACATTTGGATCCGTCTTACTCAGTTTCTACGAACTAACACAAATGTTGTCTTGCTTCACCATAAATTAAAACGATATCCATCAACTCCGAGTTGTTATACGCGCAAGCCGTTTTGACAATAACCACTAAAAAACTTGTAAACACCACAGACAACAGGTAAATACTAACGCAACGACCATTGTAAAAACGGATTTCAGTATTCGGAGTCGCTGAGGCCACGTGGCTCTCCACGCATATTGCGAATGATGCTAAAGACTACAGTTGTCCAGCTATATAATAGTTGAATGTACTACAACTTCAATAATTTTTTTCTCGGAAACTATAAGGAATTTACAAAACATTTTTTTAAGATTCCATTTCTCATGCCGCATCTGTATTCCCAAATTTTTTCGAATAAGTTGTGAATCACCCTGTATTAATTGATTTTGTACAGTTAAAGATCTTAAGCCAATTAATAACAGGTGGCAAAATTCCCAAATCATCGGTTGGTGACTGGTATAATTTTTAAGAGATTTTATTCAATCAATCAGCTAATACATTATCTCAAGCGTAGATGCAATGTTCTGTCATTGTTCATTGTAAACGAATCATTAATATTCACTACGCTTAGATTTAGGGATTTTTAGACAGTATTACTTGTGCAATGCTGATTGCCTAAGCTTGGCGGTTATGTGGTTTGTAGTCATTTATGAACTGCAGAAGTTATCTTCATATTAAGTTTTTATTAAATTAAAAAAAGTTGGATCTATTTCAGGTTTAACGAAGCAATGTAAATGCTTAAATTACAAAATTCTCAAGTTATATTCTGATATCATTAGAAAACTTAAGAAATAAAAAGGTTCACATATAAATTAAGCAGAGGATGTCACGGAAGCATTTTGTCTTCATTTTTAAATAAATAATTTTGGACGAGAGAGCTTGATATCAGCGGAACCTAAGAAAATTATGTTCGCAATGTAGGATTTAAAAAATAAAATTTTACGAAATGGCGGCCGATTGAACCGACATTCATTTTTCAAGCATAAATTCTGATCTTTCTGGCTTGTACGTAGTTGCTCCTCAGCTTCTCGGTAAATCACCCATAACTTTTACAGTTCTTGGAATATTAAGATAACATTTACACACGATAGTCTTTATGTTCCTAACTTTTTTTGGAAAAATCAGTTTTTGTAAAAAATTAATAATAATCACAGGGTGTTTCATAATGATATAATGATGTGCAAATCTTTGAAGGAGGTCTTCAGAAAGTAATTTCAGGGGGGGGGGGTGCTTCCAATAAATTTGAGTCAGGCCTTAAACTTACAACTTCTGAGAACTTTTTTCTACATTAGCTAATTTCAACAAGAAAAATATATTTTAATACTACATTTCAATTAGAAACTATTTTCACTCACATTTCACATTTTTTCGCATACATAATAGTTTACGAGCAAAAAAATAAATTTGTTTTCCTTACAATTGTATAGGAATCTTTTGCTCGTAAACTGTTAAGTATATGAAAAAATGAGAAAAGTGAACACAGTTTCTAAATGAAATGTATTAAAAGGTACTTATTTTTCTTGTTGGAATTAGCCAACGTAGAAAAAAGTTCTGAAAGAAATAAAACCATGGGTTGCTAATTTATTTAATTCAGACATAAAACTAAAATAAAAAAGACTACCAAAAAATATCATTTGACTAGTTGTTAAGGGGGCGATTTAGTATGTATATTTTTACCATGTAACAGAGCTTCAGATGAGGACACAAATCATCGAAGAAACTAACATGATTGAATATTATTATATATCAATGTATTCGCAATGGTTCCCGCTAGTGAGTGAAATAAATTTCAATGCTCATGAGAACAGAAGAATAATTTAAATAAATGCCAAAGTACCTCAATTTTAACCATACTGTTAGTCTGCCAATATATTGGATTTACGACGGAACTAGGTCAGGCACAATAACCAAACTACTTCACTCACTAGAACGGACACTTAGGATCATTTGTATTTAATTTTCAGATTAATATTTATTAACAATTCTATAATTTGTGTCCTCAAGTAAGATGACAACATTTTACACACGACTCCATGTTATATTATATTATATTATATATTTAAACCAGAATTTTAGCGGTTTCTATCTTCTACAAGAATTTCTAAATAAAATTAGTTTGTGTACTCTGTCACAGGTGTCGCTACCCTTGAAAATGAAAGCGAAAACACAGAGTTGGTTTATTGTAAATTGTATTGGCCGAGAAATAGTGAAATTTCTGGCGTTTTTAGGTACTGAAATCTTTAAAAGTAAAACGTGTAGAACAAAAGTAGGGGTAAGCACAAAAATAAAATCCTTGATGTTTTGTTTATTCATGGTTACCGTTTAAATTTACCCAAATAAAATAATAACTAAAAAAAAGCGTTTGCAAAACATGCGTTTGCTATTATCCTAACCCCACATTTTAACAATTATTTTCACGTACTTATAAAAAGTAAACAATTTTATATGTAGGACTAAGCAAGTAAATGTTATAAGAATATTTACATGTGGAATTATATATAAAAAAGATAGTATTTTCGTAGATTTCAGTACCTAAAACCTTAATGGTTTGATCGTTTTTTGCACCTGTTTATTCGTTTTACTGCGGCCGGCGTCTTTGAAAATACTCAGGTGGCATGACATAACATTCCTATTATTTGATAAGCTTTAGATTATTCAGTTATTAAATGTTTGAAATTATTTGTCTTTGCGGAAAACACTATTTACAGAATATGGGACCCATAATGGTCTGATATTATCTTTGATATATAAATATGGGTAATATTTTAAAAGTAGGTAGGTACCTAAGTAATAAGATTTTGTAAAGCTTAAGTAGTACGAAAATATAACGCATAAAAAACCAATAATATGTACTAATTTTTCTTTATTAAGAATAAAGATTAAATTTTACGTACAGGGTGTCCCACATAAAATCGTTATTTATATTGTAGCCTTGGTAGTTTCAAAATAAATTTACAGCTTAAAAATTGGTCTGGCTCAGGTAGATTTCTGTTTCAATCTACAAATCAGTAGCTACTTACCGATAAGAAGGAAACCACTAGTCTAGTCGAGAAGTGAGTTTTTTTTGCGAAAAATAGTTATTGTAATCCTAAAAATATGGTTGTTAGTACATTGGATTCGGAATTAAATTCAGAGAAAGAAGTATTTTTTAATTTATCCGCAATTAAAAATAGCAATTGTTATAAACAAAAAACGAAGAGAAAAAAGGGAGTCTCCGTTTTTTAACTATAACTAAAAAAATATTGAAGATAGCTGAAATTTCAAAAAAGATCCTGAAAGAGGAGAAAATTTCAGCAAAATAAGTCAGGAATTGTAGCTCCATTATTTATAATTTTAATTTGACGTTGAAAATATAGCTCCGCGCGGCGGCGGCGGTTTCCGCGTCGTCGCGTCGCCGCCAAGCAAAGTGTGCAACACAAAATAATTTTTTTATAGTATTCAATATTAATTTAAAAATCTAAATAAATTATAGTGTCATCTAGACACTTGAAGGAACACAGCCCAGTTGGAAAATAATTTTTAACTTGACTTATGTTAAAGTTATTCAATTGTTAATGAACTAATTTTTCGTGGTCCTAATCTTTCATAAAACTTGTTGTAAAACTTTAAATAATGTATCTAAAATTTTTTTTCTTTCTGGGAGGTCTTTTTATATACATAATAAACAAGATTCCGTTGTAAAAGTTTATAAAAGTTTTTTCATTTGTTTATAATGATTTTTTAAAGTTAACAAAAAATGAAAAATCCGGGAAATGTTATAAAAATTTTTTTTTACCAAATGTTTGATTTTACTTGTTTTTCTATTAATATATTGCGTTTATTAACTTAGCTAAAAAAATTTTAACGTTATTTGTTTATAAATTTGTTATAAACAAATGGACAAGTTTAATATTTTTGAAACATTTTTTTGCCATTTTATTGTCTTGGTAAATTAATGATTTTTAAAAACAAAAATTTTTCTTAAATAAATTTTTTAATTGTTTATAATCGATTTTTATATTTATTTGTCATTTAAATTATTTATTAAGAAATCATTTTTTTTTAAATCATCATTTGCTATTATCAATATAATTATAAAAAAAAAATTTATTCAAATTTTCATTGTTTATTTTATAAACAATTTGTTATAAACAAATTCTGATTTTCATTTTATTTTTTTTTCGTAACTTTAACGAATTATAAATACAGCTATGTGCATCAAAGTGGTAAATAACATTTTTTTCTAATTTTTATTGCATTTTTAAATACTTTATCACATCAAAGCTGAAACGGTCACCTATTTGATAAACTTATAAATTGTTATAATTTCTAAATTATTGATGATACGGTCTTTGACATTCAGGTAGATCTTTTAGATAATTTATTGATCTATAACATGAATTTTTTTACCTGCTTCATATCTACAATGGTTATATTTTTATAAACATTTGTATATAAAAAAATGCATTATCTAATTCTTTAAATGACTAAAACTTTTAAACTATTGAAGTTACGGATTCCACTATTTAAGACAATTTTATAGAGTAACTACTGGACTACTCAATAAAAATTTTTTTATATTTTTTATTCCATTTGTTTACGATGTTTTTTTATTTGTTTAAATTATCACACGATTAAGGGTACATTTTCTGGATTTTCTGTACTTTTTTTCTAACTAATGTCAATATTTTATATTCTTCTTGTTGTTTTCTTCAATTTTGTCTATTTTTAATTAAACACTTAACTTTTGTAAGAGCAGAAACTCAAAATTTTAACCAATTGTGCAGCCTGGAAGATATTTACGGAATACAATGAACTTTTGAGTTATAAAATAAACAATGAAAATTTGAATAATTTTTTTTTTGTAATTATATTGATAATAGCAAATGATGATTTAAAAAAAAATTCTTAATAAATAATTTAAATGACAAATAAATCAAAAAAACGATTATAAACAATTAAAAAATTTATTCAAGAAAAATTTTTGTTTTTAAAAATCATTATTTTACCAAGACAATAAAATAGCAAAAAAATGTTTCAAAAATATTAAACTTGTCCATTTGTTTATAAATTTGTTATAGCTAAGTTAATAAACGCAATATATTAATAGAAAAACAAGTAAAATCAAACATTTGGTAAAAAAAAAATTTATAACATTTCCCGGATTTTTCATTTTTTGTTAACTTTAAAAATCATTATAAACAAATGATAAAACTGTTATAAACTTTTACAACGGAATCTTGTTTATTATGTATATAAAAAGACCTTCGAGAAAGAAAAAAATTTTTAGATACATTATTTAAACTTTTACAACAAATTTTATGAAAGATTAAGTCCACGAAAAATTAGTTCATTAACAATTGAATAACTTTAACAAAAGTCAAGTTAAAAATTATTTTCCAAATTTTCCTGTGTTCCTTCAAGTGTCTAGATGACACTAAAATTTATTTAGATTAGATTTAGGCCCGATTTTTGAAAAAAAACCTAATTCGCCCGGACTACTAGGCTTATTTTATTCATTATTCAATTCTTCAAAAGTCTTCAAAATTTAGAAATAAAAAGTTGTCATTCTGGGAACAATTGTTTATACAAATTTTGACTTTTTTAGTATTTGTAGAATAAGCTTTACAAGTCGATTTTTCAGAGCACTATATTTCATTTTTGCAATAAGTATTTCGTTCTAAAAAAGTTTTTTTTCTGTTCTTCATTAGTATTATTTTTGGTTTTCCATTTAAAAATTAAAGTAAGTAGCAAAAAAAATAGTGTATCTGGCAATTGAATTCAGATCCACTATAACTGCAGGCTAATTATATTTGAAATCGCATTATATTGCTTGGTAATTGTCCAAAACATGACATAAATTTATTTAATTTTAATAAGCAATAGCATAAAATCGATGTAAAATTTCCCTGGGAACACGATGGTGCAATTATTTTTTTGCTACTTGCCGTAGTTTACGAGATATTTGCGAAAAACCTTATTTTTTACGGGTTTTTTGACCTTTTGACCCCTTGCCTGATCACCTAGGTCAAAAATTTTTGCGGATTCGGATTCCTGAGGGTCGAAAACATATTTGCGCCCAGGTTTGATCGACAGAGGAAAAAATGGAGGTTCAGCCTTCATTTCAATGGACTAAATACATACAGTAATATTATATATATATTTTATGCCTATACATATTATTCTCCAAACGCAATTAGTAGCAAGATTCTATATATTTTAGTAATTAAGCAGTGTTTTTAAGTTAAAACGACTCGTCAAAGTAAAAAAATATTTCAGGTTAGGTATATATTTTTTTTACTGAAAATAGCAGTTAATTTACATTATCGGATTGTTAATGTGAAAATATAAACATTAGACTGTTGACTATTCCATGTTATACGTGTTTTAAGGTCACTTTTGAAGAAGAAACTACATGTAATTTTAAAAACCGTATTTCTGTTTTTATAATGAAGGAATAGTAATTATAAGATTGTTTAAGCTTATTAACTAAAAATTATTGCCTACTCAATAAAAAAATATTATTGTCCTCGATAATCTATTACTGATTAATAAAATATTTACTCTCTTTCCTTATAAGATTGTATGCACACAAATTGGAGCCGTTCCTAAAAAATCGGGCGAATGTGGCTGCAGTTTAAATTATTAGACTTGAAGCGTTGGCCGCTAGAACAGCACCTGCCGGGGTCCCGTTTCGTGACTGACGCTGGGCGATATTTTTTGTACAAAATCCCGTCCTTAATGTGTAGCAAAAATCAAATTTCTAAGTTCAACCGTTTTCGCGAAAAAAAAAATAAATCCTAATTTTTTCCGCCATTTTGAGATTCGAATATTTTCTCGGGGGAGCTCAAATTGAAAAAAAAGTATTGGAAGTATAGTCGAGAAAATAAAGCACTAAACCTCCAAAATTTTTCGATCGAGTCATATCAAGATGGGGGGTTTTTGCATTTGATTTCTAAAATTATGTGAAAAAAATATATCTTTGCATTGTTTTTCGGCCAAATTGCATTTGTGCAATGCAAAATGCATCAGGAAAAATGCATTTTTTAAAGTCACTTAGAAAAAATTCATAACTCGGCTAATAAATCTGGAATGGATTCAAATCAGGGTCCTGGGGGTTTTCGAGCGCCCCAAAATACCCCCTGATGTGATTTTCGGCTCATATACGCGAATTTTACAGGAAAACTTCCGGAGATGACGTCCATGTCCAGGTTCCGGTGCACCAGGTGTCCAGGGGGGCTTCTCGTTAACACCAGATTAGGAATCAGCGACCAAGAGAAGCTTCGGAGATGACATTCATCATCCAGGTCGACGATAGACCAATTTGAAGGTCATATTCGGGGTCAACAACCTCGAAAACCCCCAGGATCCTGATTTTGAGTCCATTCCAGGCATTATTAGCCGAGTTATGAATTTTTTCTAGTAACTTTAAAAAACTGAATTCTTCCGGATGCTTTATTTCCTCGACTAGTACCCCTTCTAAAATTACTTTCTAAATACCTTCTTAAACTATTTGCACATCATTTTGAAACACCCTGTATATTGAGAAAAACTTTTTTTACTTTATCGTTAATTTGCCCTTATTTGGACTATAGAGTAGGCCCTTCACAGTACTGGCAGCATTTTCTGCAAGGATCCGTGACTGCCTTCGCTGAAACTTCTCTTCATGAGTCACGTTTGGCATCTTTGATCTCGCAATGTTGATTAACGTTTCTTTCTACCTTGAAGCCCCATGAATTCTGGTAAATTCCTCATAACTTCCACAGTTATTGGAATTTCAATACAAAATTTACACACAATATTCTTAAAACTACAAACTTTAAGGAACGAAAGAAAAAATTGATAAAAACGTTTTTTTTCTACTCGGATATTCCCCGTTGAAACAGTTTCACACCAAAACGATACCTTTCCATTCACAGTAACGCTCTTTCATCAAATTTACCGAAGCAATCAATTAAAAAAAAATAACAATAACTAACGTTTATTATTAACACTACTACAGTGTCACATTAATAACAACCAATAAAAGAGAAGTATTTATTTATATTTACAATACGGATAGTATTTAAAACACAAATTTTATTACAACAACAAATTTAACCTGCCGCCGAGCGACGACAAAATAGAAGTTATTAGGAATGTAATACTATACAACTATATACATTACAGCACAAGCCGACTGTATTTTTTTTTCCCTTCCGCCTCAACCTTACATTCTGCTACATCACTTATTTGAAAAATTGAATACTTATGCGAATACAGCCAGGCCACAGCGATAATATTTACGTTAATAATACTATGTTACGATTAGGCCTTCCCGGCTACCGTGGCGCCCCCTTTTTGCGAGCCTTTCTCCCCCGTCCCAGTTTGTTCCTTCTCGAGCTGGCGGCCGAGGTACTCCCAGTTGTGCACCATCAATTTTTGGACTGCTAAAAGAGCCTCGTAGCGCACGTTGGGGTCCTCGTGAGCCAGAAGCTGCATCACTAGTTGCTTGCCTCCCAATTGCTCAATGACACTAAAAAAAAAAGATTTAACAGTGTACAGATTTTTAATTAAAAATTGTAATTTTTTTATTTATTCATTAAATACACGGTGTCCCATTTTAAATACAGGGTTCATGGTTCAAAAGTATATAGAATTCCCTGACTTTTCCCTGAAAAAAAATCTAGGTCACTTGTACATACTAACTGATGTTTATGCCAGGGGTTGCCAAATAAAACAGTGTGTCGGGACACCCTGGGGCGTCGCATCGATATCCTAACGGCGTCGTACCGTTATCCTGAAGGCACACAGTGGGAAATATTGGACAAAATTCTCACCACTCGCCAATTTTCATCGTTGATTTTTTTTTTTAATAATCTCGTGGTAAACTGAATTTTCATATTCCGGTGAGGTTTTTTCGAAAAACCCTTTTTTTTAATGCTTAGAGAGCACCCCAACCTCAATGTCGAAGAAAAAATGTTTAAACACTCGATGTTCAGTTGTAGAAAAAAATGTTAAAAAGTATCTGCTATTAATAAAATTGATTATTATGGCCCTTGATATATCTGATGTTGTTCCTTCAAAAACCTAACCTCAAAATTATTAATTCTAACCTAAAAGCCTTAAACGAAATTTACATTGGAAAAAGTTTTTTTACATGCCAAAAGTACGAAATAGATTCAATAGAACCCTACGTAACATGTTATACCCAAACCATGAATTTGAATCTAAAAATCCTAACCTCAAAACCAACATTAACTAAGTTACTCACTAAATTAAGGATTAAGGAATTTGTCATAAAATTATTTTCTTTAATAAAAAGTATAAATGTATTTTTGTTGAGTGTTCATCATCGCAATCGCCAAAATTTTTGATCGAATCTCTGTACAATAAAGATATTTTTAATTTTTTTTTTTTATTATAAAAAAAGGGTTTTTTGCAAAAACTTCACCAGAATATGAAAATTCAGATCACCACTAGACTATTAAAAAAAAAAATGAGACAATGAAAATTGGCGAGCGGCGAGAATTTTGTCCAATATTTCCCAGTGTGGGGCGTCACGAGACAGACGATATGCGCAGGTCACCAGTTTAATGAGTGACTTTCATTCGTTTATCCAATCGTTCATTATTCAGTCAGTCTTTTGTTTTCGTCGATTATAAACGTTGATGCATTTTGTAATCTCAAAACAATTACAGCCTGTAAAAGAAGTCGTAATATAAAAAAGTTTGAGAACCCCTGGTTTGTGCATTAAATATTTTCTCGACTGGACTCCATAATCTTTTTTATACCCAAAGAACCTCTTATAAAGGTTTCAAAACCAGAAATAGTTTTCTCTTTCAAGAACCCAGGGCCTGCTTTCACAAAATTTCCAGTAGCAAACGTTAAATTCCCTGACTTCCATGAATACTGACTATTCCGTTTTTTTATGAAAAATAATGAACTCTTATTTTCCAGGCCGCTACAAACCCTGACAACGCATTGCAATATCTTCTTAGGCAAGCACTTTCAAGAGAAACTTTTTTGACAAAATTTGTAAGGTTCTGAGAGGGATAACCGACGGTGACCTTGATCGGGATACAAAGGTCAACCGTAGAGGTAATTTGAAGGTCATCTTGATATGATAGATGTATTTCTGACACCAGAAATAGATAGAACAGAAAATTTTATGTTCACGTATGTCTTTATGTTATGGGTCAAAGTGACCCTAAAGCGTTATTTTAGGGAAAAATCAGGTTTTGAATAACATTTTATATTTTTGGGGAAAGCACTTACGATGACGGATTCTGGTTGAAGGTTTTGTGGTTTGATGGGATCATTCGACAATGACCTTGACTGTGACCTAGAGATCAAGCTTGAAGGTTCTTTGAAGGTCAAATCAAGTTAATAAATAAGAGATCCCGGTTTGCAACCCTATCAATTTAAGGCAAGATCGTTATGGCCCAGCCGGTCAAAGCAAGATCGTTTTGGTCGTTTCAGAACCTTACTCGACCCTAAAATAACCATTTAGGGTTACTTTGACCCTAAACATAAACGTACCTGAACGTAACATTTTTCGCAATATACATTTCCGGTGTCGAAAATACCACATCTAAAAATCCAAATGACCTCTAGGGTTAACCTTTGTGTCAAGGTCAAGGTCATCACCGCATGTCCTCCTCAGAACTCTACAACTTTTGTCTAAACGGTTTTTCTTGAAAGTGTTTCCCTAAGATATTGCAATGCATTAAATGGGACATCATGTATACAGTATGGGGTTATGTATGAAATAGCATTTGCTGGCATATATGAACTCTTTTGTCGAAATTTTCCATGACCATTGTGCATAACTGCAAGAATTTTTCTACTTTCCGCCTTTTTATTTCTTACACTAACCGACATTACTTTTATTATTTTATTATGTCAATAAGACACGTACCATTATGTAAATACAAATTCATTACTGATAAAAAAGCTTTATAAATAAATAAAATGGGACCAATCGATGCGGACTATTTTTTATATTGAAGTACAAGTATTCAACTACAGCATGTGTAAATTTCAGCCCTTAATATTAATAAATGAGGTCGTGGCGATTTTTCGAAAAAAATTTTGTATACAAATTGAAATCAAAAAGTTAATCAGTTTTATAGCCCCGAAAAAAAAAAACGATTTTTCAATAGTTTTTTGCGAATCGTGAAATCAATTTGAGGCTCGCGCAATAATTGCACATAATAGTGTAATTATTAAAGAAAATTTTAAACCCAACCCCGTTTCTAAAGATGTGGCGCCTATGAATTATGGCGATTTTACAAAAACGCTTTTTTTCGAAAAACTCGATTTTTGCAAAAACTTGAATAATTTTAAATTTTGAAAAAATCATTTTATTTTGCTCACCAAGAGCTATCCTTTCACCAAGTTTCATAAAAGAATGTTTATTTTTTAAAGAGATACAGCTTTTTGAAAAAATTGCAAAATTTAACGGTTTTTTTGCAGTAACTAATTAATTTATTTATCGATCAAAACCGGTTTGGGCTTATTCGATCCGCATTAAAAATTCCTACAACTTTTGTTTAAACATTTTTTTCAAAAATGTTTAGTTTCTTTAATAAATGAAAAAAAACTGTTTTTAGCAAACTTTGGACGCCATTTTGAAAATGAAGCCGAAAAATTCAGGTGGAGTAAAGTAGTTCATTGAATTCTACGGAATTTTTCCTAATTTTTACATATTTCCAATTACTGAACTATTTTTTGCCAAAAAAAAAATAAGGTATTTTGACAACTGACTGAACTATGTCCTCTATATCCATATTTTGCAATTTAGACTTAAAAAATTGGATATATCATAGCGTTAGGGAACACCATTAACCGTTATTGCCCGACCAGCCGCATTTTGGAAGAAGAATGGTCTGATAATGCTTCCAGCCCAAAATCCACACCAAACAGTGACAAGTGAATGCATATACTAAGAGAAAAACCTCAGTTTTGCTAATATCATGTGTACTCACTGTTTTCCACGGGGGTAGTGACGAACGTACTCGCCAATATCGAAACTGGCGACGCTAAGTACGAGGGGATCCTTGCTGGTTTCCAACAAATGGATAAGGATGCGGAGAAGTTCGTAGTTCTTCTCGTTGAGCCTTTGGGCGTTTTCCCTCCAGAATTTGCTCTTATGCACGGGGGACCATTCCAAACGACCAGATTTCACCTGAAAGAAAAAAAATAATCACTTAAATTAAACCAATTCCATCTTAACACTTAAATGCATATGCACTAAGTCATGCAGGCGAGAGAATTACACCTACCTCTGTTGCGTATTCATCAAAGGAACTAAGATCCTGCACAGAGCTCTGTAATTTCTCTGTGAGGAACTCTACGTCACCCGTCACATCTTCGTCATCAAATTTGCGCTGTTCCAATATTGCTAGCTGCTTCAATACCTTAAAAACATGAAAAATTCATAAATGAACAATTACCATACTCTTCCTCCGCTGTTAGAAACTCCTACAGATTCTTGGAGTTAAGGGGGCATTCTGGTCTAGAAATTTGAAAAAAAATCGATTTTTTTGTATATTTTTAAAATTTAGACCTTCAATAATATGTCTTTAAGCGTATTTTTAAAAATTCGATTTATTTTCGGAGTTATAGCAACTTTTATAACGGTCGTGTCAGCCCGAGTTGATCGAACAATAGATGGTAGACGTTCAAGGTCAATGTTACGTATTTTGTTGGTTTGGTTTAGCTGAAAGAAGTGCAGAAAATGTCATGTATGAAGTAGAAGAAGGTCCAATGTATGGATCAGGGATCGGCAATTAACCAAAGGTGAGTATTAAGTACCGTTATCTAAGTTACGCTGTCCGAAACTTTATCTCAAATTTTACACTCGTTTTTCTCGAAACTACTTTCTTCGACCTAGTCTACAAGATATCTCAAGCTCTACTCCATCGATTTACTTAAAATTTGGTGAAAATCTTCTTTGTATATCCATTTATAGTTGGGACCTTAGATTTTGAAAAAAAAAATTTTTAATTCGGAAAACTCAAAAAACGGGCAAAAAACTTTTTTTTTAAATCGTCGCCATTTTGTATTTTTTGTTTGTGAGGTCCAGACCATAGTGACGTCTTTACTGATCAAGAATTTTCTTATTTGTTTGTTTCAAACCACTACAAGGGCTAGAAAGATGTCGAGCAGGACCCACCTTTTTTCTTAGCCTCCACTTCAATCGCCTGTTTTGTTCTTAATTTTCGATTTTTTTGTTTTTGTAATTTATTTTTAGTATTTTGAAAATATCAATAAATTGGTTATAAAAAAATTAATAGTAAAAAGGTTCTTCATTTTTTTTATCCTACTCGGAAAAACCGCTCAAATTTAGGCCTCTAGACGAGAATACCCCCTTAAAATAATTTGACTACTTGCTTCTATTCAAAGTTGATTCATTCAGTCATTATAGGGACCCAAAGTTGCGCAAAAATTTTGATTTTTTCCAAATTACATTTAATATAATCTTTCATAATTGTGCTAATATTATTATTTAAATAATACAAGGTACAAATTACTACTTCTAATAATTTCTATTTCATTATACACTAATATTACCAATTCTAGAGTTTGAAGTTCTTCAAATTTTAAAGTTTGAAGTTAGAATTTAATCGGTTAAATAATTGCACACACGTTTGTTTAAAATTTTAAGCTGTGTATTTGGTTAGACGCCTAGATGTTTTGTTTAAACAGCAGTTATAGTGTTCGCATGTATTTTTTTGCAAGGAATATGGAAAAAAAGTCGAACAAAAACTAAAGCTTCGCATTATAGTGTTTGCATTTATTTTTTTATAACGGATAAGGGAAAAAGAATCGAACAACAAAAATGGAAGCTTAATGTTATACCAAAAATTAAACAAAACAAGAATACCTAGATATATTTTTGAATATTCAATTGGTGAGCTCCAGATATTTCTTTTTCCATTTTTTTTATTTGGATTAATTTAGGAAGTATAACAAAAAAAACACTATTACACTTTGTCAGTTTCATCATTTTTATTATATCTTCAGGTGTTGGGTAAATCAAAAAATTGTAACTGTATATAGGAACATTGAAATTAGAATATGTAGGTACTCTAAGTACTTAGAATGATATTCTAATGTTGTCTTTAAAATCAAAAAAAATAATTCAATTTCCTTTCAAGCATATGTAAGACTGCAATTTTCCTTGATTGATGTGCAAGTAGAAGACTTATTTCTTGCATTAACATCTGTAATTAATGAGGTAACATCTAATTACACATATATCGTATACATAGGTTCTCAGTAGAAGAAATGGAGAAAAAAGGAATTTTATCAATTACAGCATCAGCTATCATGAACTGAAACAAATGTTTCAGATAAATCTTACACACTTTAGCCGTAGAATCCGAATCTGCAGTAAAAATTGGAGGTTCCTATGTAAGATTTCAAAGTTACTCCCCTCCCCATTTACAAAGGGAGGGACGGCTGGGAGTATTTTCTTAACCTTTTTACTGCACCTACAGGCTGTTACAAATTGGCTTCTCACTAACATTCTCGAAAACTGTTAAGAGATACAAACTAGCTTAAATGGGGTCAAAGTTGTGTAATCAGGGAACCGACATTATGCCTCTAAAAATCAAAGCTAACACGATTAGTTTTCGAAATATTTGAAAAAAAACGAAATCTTGGAAATCCGTTTTTGTTTCATTTGAGCCTTGTTTGAGGTGATATTGAAAAGAGAACACTTTCTCATGGCCACTTTTTGCACTCTATTGAACGGCATAATCAATTTTTATATGTAACGTTTCATCTCTCCAGGACCATCATCAACTTCATTTTTTTTACATATGACCTTGGAAATTTTATTACATTTTTTGCAAGCTTTCATGACCCCCAATACTGTACTGCCTCAGCCCGAACCAGATTCAAACGTTTTGTCTCGAAAAATTCATCTTCAGTGTATTCGTTCCAAATTTATCTAATTTTTTTATTTAGATTTCTTTGTTTATTGAATTACCGTATACTGTAAGTGTCGTTAGACCCTGTGAAATCCATCTAGTTATTTAAACTATTACCACCACGCATTAAAATAAAACATTATTAGTTTTATTTCCAGGTCCATAGTTATTTCTAGGCTTCTCGAGTGCTCAAAATTCAAACAAATTCTGATCTATTTTCTTCAGGATATTCATACAAATACATCTGACATGCTTATTCACAGTTGCGGTTAGAGATATAATAAATTCCGATAATATTACGCTGATCTTCATTTTCAACATTTGCCAAAACGAAAATGTTTTTGAACATTTACTGAAATTTTTTAAAGAATGCTATTCAATTGGCGTTTTGGTTATTCATATGCATTTTTAAGAATTAATTTTTTATAATAAAATTAAAATTGTAATGTTTTAATTTTGACACAACAACTTATTGAGTTATGTATGACCAAGTGATGGTAATAATTAATAATAACAAATGTTTTATTGTAACGCGTGGTGGTAATAGTTTAAATAACTAGATGGATTTCACAGGGTTTAACGACACTTACAGTGTACGATAATTCAATAAACAAAGAAATCTAAATAAAAAATTTAGATAAAGGAACGAATACCCTTCAGATGAATTTCTCGATACAAAATGTTTGAATCTGGTTCGAGCTGAGGCAGTACAGTATTGGGGGTCATGAAAGCTTGCAAAAAATGTAATCAAATTTCCAGGGTCGTATTTAAAAACTTGAAGTTGATGCTGGTCCTGGAGAGATGAAACGTTACATATAAAAATTGATTGTGCCATTCGATATAGGGCAAAAAGTGGCCGTGAGAAAGTGTTCTTCTTTTTTCAAAATCACCTCAAACAAGACTGAAATGAAACAAAAATGGATTTCCAAAATTTCGTTTTTTTTTCAAATATTTCGATAACTAATCGTGTTAGCCTTGAATTTTTAGGCATAACGTTGATTCATTGAATACACAACTTTGCACCCATTTAAGCTACTTCGTACCTCTTACCGTTTTCAAGATCCCTGTAGTGAGAAGCAAATTTGTAACAGCCTGTATATGCACGAGCTTAGCGTCTGCCGTCTTTAAGCTTTTAGGTATTTATGATTCACTGCGATATCCACAAATAAGCGTAGTGATTGGTGGAGGTATCTTAAAGCTTAGCAGCACACTTAGTGACTTTGTAGTCATGTCTGCTGTGTACCCCTCCCATCCCACCTATTCCACACATGCCTATATTTTTGAAATTTGTATTTTAATAATAACGAGCTAGGACGAAAATACATGTACCCCATTAAAAAAAATTTTAAAGGTTCACTGTGGCTGCCATTTTATAACGCCATAGTAGGGGAACAACTCGGTCCGGACCGTGGTGATGCAGCGAAAAGTACTAGATATAAAATTCCATTCAAACTGCATAAAGCGTTTTAAAGTTCAGTTAAATCATTTTATTTCGTCTCATGAATCGTGGAGTTTTGGAGCACCCTGTATACGCACAATTGAATTTACCTTACATTGCACCATGGCAATACAATGCTCCTTTGCCACCTGTTGATCATCAGGCTTTTCAATCAAGTTCCTAAACACAGCCAAGATGATCCTGGTGACCTTCTCTTTGACAGAGTCGCTTAAGATGTCGGCCAAAATCGGTATGACATTGAACTTGTTCATCTTTTCGGCCAGCAGAGGGTTGAAAGTCAACACCCACAGGCAGAAGATGAGCTGGTACTGGACCTGGAAGTTGACTCGTCCCGACAGGACGGAAAGGAGGGTGGATATACCGTCCACGGAGACGAACGCAAAACGGTATTCGTCGATACGAAGCATCATTTGTAAGCAGCGGGCGACCGACTGGATGTACTCATTGTTCTAAATAAATTCATTCTGGTTAGGACCTACACAGTGATGACCAATAACGTACACTTAGTAACAGTCACAGTTATACAAAGTGATCGTCTAATGTTGCTGTCATTTTATAACTTGGAATTTAAATATCTAAGTTTTTTAAATAAAACATTAACTGCCTAATAAATTACAATAAAAAAATAATTCTATTACATAGTTATTCTTACTTCTTTCAGAAAGTTTTATTTATTATAAGGCCTGCAAATGGTAAAAATGTTTTTAATTTTTTCATAAACAAATGTATTGAAATTTACTGTACGATTAAAGGTTTATTCCAATTTTACGAGTATAAATAAAAAATTACATTGATCAGATCACCTTGTATTTTATCTAAATTTGTTGTATATGAAATATTCAATTTTTTATTCCAATGTGAAGAAACTGAAAAAACATTAAAACACAAAAATAAATCTTCATAATGATTTGATTTCAACAAAAAAAAAGTTATTATACAGAGCGCAACAGTAACTTTGAAATAAAAACAGAAAAACAACAAGGGATGCATTTTTTTGTAAAACGATTTCTATGATCTTTAAAAAATTTGAAATGAAACAGTTTTTGATTATTAACTCAAAAACTGTTGAAGATACAGACCTCGAATTTGAAACAGGGTACAGTGTACGTCTCTTTTAGTAACATCTAAAATTAAAATAAAAACCAACCAGTGGCATCTAAACTAGAAGATTTGAAAGGTTTCAACTATCAAAAAAATATATGTAGAGAAAATATTCTTTTACAGATTCAAATGTTTTTTTTCTTATAATGCACACTACAAGTAAAACTCGAGTCCAGTAGATAAAATCCAATTATTGTGTCTTAATTCCTCAACAATTAGAAGTATATAGTTACGGAAACATTGAATCTATTTGTTGACTATCTTTCAATCAAATAAATGAAATTTATGTAAAATGTTTTGTTACCCCGAGTTAAAGATTAGGGAGAGGAAAGATCAGAATCCCTCTGATTATTTCTACCCCAACTGTAGTATCAGAAGTATTTGTACATTTCTGCCGATAAACGTGACAAGACGGTATCTGTCAAAAAATGGCTGTCAACTGACAAATTTCAAGCTATTGGTGTTTATATGGTTACTTATTTATTATTTTCAATATTTTATAATATTTTTGTTTTCCATTACTTTTTCTATTATTTGGCAAAATCATGGTTCATGTTGTACACTGCAAAAACAACAAAAGACAACATGGCTAAACTACATTCTTCACTACCCTGTCCAAAAACGTAATGTTATTACATTGACCCCAAGACTTGGATATTTAAGTAATTTTTATTAAGGATAACTCAAATATAATAAATTTATAATAATTGTTCAAAACGGCTTGTGGTAGGTAGTTCTATAGTTTGATGCAAAACTTCAATGGCCATTGTCCGTGCATTTCGTGGATGTCAACTTCCTACATCTGGTTTAAAGTTGCCTTTTCTCCTAAGTGACGACGTATTAACGAAAATGTAGTTCAGCAAGGACATCGGCGATTTGGAAAGCTCAGCTCAGCTTCTCTAGCTTTGCATCTTACTTCACCATAAATAAGATGCATGTCTGCATACTCTTCCAAAGTAAATTGTTCCATTTCAACAACATAGAAGCAAAATTTCCTCGCAAACAAAACAAATGAGAAACATCAATTAGGTTCGATCATTTGTTATGTGACAGCTGTGTTCATTTGTTTCATTAATCCTCACAAATGACATTGCATGGCTAGATTAGATGCATGCAATAGAGCTTTTATCACACACTTGTGGATAAAATCAATTTTTACCAATGTCGTGTGTAGTTGGTAAACATTTATCAGAAGAGATAAACGTGTTTATTTTGTTTTAACATTTTTTTCGTTATCCTTAATAAAAATTACTTAAATATCAAAGTCTTTTGGTGTCACCAAGATAAAATTACGTTTTTGGACAAAAAACACCCGGTATAAGTGGAATTTTCCTCTCTTAAAACGTAGCCATAACTTCACCTTAATATTCAACTCTAGTTTTGGGTTAAACCCTAATATTTTTACTTGTTTATAAGAAATTTATACTAAATTTATGTTTTATAGATTAATTACTAGAAAACTGTATAAGATTCTCCACAACGTTAAATATTTTTTGTTGACAATCAATGAATGGTTAGTTTATGATCAAATTTTGGTTGTACATAGGTATACAAAAATAAACTGCCCTGTACCAAAGCTGAAGGTTATATCTTTAATAGTTCTTGACAATCGAGTCAACAACTGCTTCACATACAATCTTTAAAAGAGCGTAAAGCCCTTAAGAATCGTACGAAAAATCATTACTCCTGTTTTTCTATTATTTTGACAAAAAGAATCAGATGCAAAAGTTTTTTCACAACTTACTGTTTACAACCTATACCGATTTGTTATTGTTACATAAGAAATAATCTTGAAAATTTCATATACATACAGACATGAACATGAAGAATGAAACCACTCACCTGAGAAAATCTATTTTGACTGATTTGTTACTAATAAAATGCACACCTAACATGCAGATTATGTAAAATATAAATTCTATTCTGGCATGCAGTTATGCAATATTAAAAAAGTAGCAAAGCATTTAAATGTTTTTTCAATTTTGATCGCCCACAGTATCCAATTTTCAGCATTAAGTATTCTTCTCTGTGTTGTATCACCCTCAACTTTGAATATATTTAATAAAAATGATATGAAAAGAGTCTGACTTTAATTTGGTAGCTCTAAACACACTATTTAATTAGTTCTTATTCCCCTCCTCAAATGACAACTGCACAAGGAAACTGATAATTTAAATTAATGTGAGATAACAATGCTGGTTACTTAGAGCAGTTAAAAATTCATGAAGATAAAGCAATGGAAAAGTTTAAAGATATGGCTTCCTTCCTCGAGAAGAGGAAGAAGAAGTAAAAGAAAGATAAAAAATCAAATGGAGCTGATGACATTTCAAAGTTGAAAGTTTGTGCACAGAGTATGCACAACCACTGACGTTTCAATAAGGAGTGTGTATAGTGTGATGGTGTGAATGTAACAACAAATGACACCTAATCTAAAGGATGGCACAAAATAGTAGAGTGTATATAAATGTATACCGATATGTCTTGTGACGATAGTTGCTGATCGAATGAGGATTCCGTGTAATGTTCAGTTGCCTCGCCCCTCAGTGTGTCTGTTGCTGCTTGAGAAACAGCTAAAGCATCGTACTAGAATTTACATAAGTCTTTGTAATGCTAACGTCCAGGTAATCTACTAGCTGATCAAAGCTAAGTGCTTTCATCCACGACCTTTAGATTATAATTTGGAATCAGAGCAGTCGACTGGCTGAATTAGAAAACCCGCCACAATTTTTAGATTCAACCAATCAGTTGCTCTGGTTTCAGGTTATAATCTGAAATTCTTGGGTGAAAGACTTGGCTTTAAATTGTCACGAAAAACTTAAAAGATAGCAGATATTCTACAAGACGGAATCTTAAGCTGTTTTCAATAGATTTTATTTCATAAATCTCCACACTATGAGCAACGAAAACTTGTAATAAGTTTCTGGTTGTATAAATATAGTATCATGTAGCAAATTTAAAAATGCCGTTTATGTATACAAATTAAAATTCAATCACAAAAACAGCTCAAGATCCACATGTAACTGTAAAAAATCTGATATCCTAAAAGTTATCACAGAAGTATACATGACTGGAATGTATGTGATATCTTTTACCACAACCTAAGCATCACTTGGAAGATGTTAGTTCATAGGAAGTTGTTGTTACAGGCAGGGCAGACATTATATTTTCACAGAAAATGACACAAAATATTCGGATATTTCTCGAATGAAAGATATTTAATCGATGTTATCCTGCTTGTATTTTTTAGAAATATTTAAGGCATTACGAAAAGTATTATTACACGGGGTATTTCAGAATAACGTACCATAGATTCAAGGGATATTAGAAAATAAAAACATATTTTTCTTCAACTTTTGTCTACAGGAACCACTTTACTTTTTTTGTTTGTTCATGTTCATTTCTTGAAGATATATACATTTTTTAAATAATTTTGTTGAAGGAATGAGTTAATTTTAATCAGTAATACTTTTCTTATTTTATTTATGTGTATGACTTCACAAAGCGAAAATTTTGAAAAATCGCTAAATGTCTGTTGAAAGGATTCTATTTAAAAATATTCTACATCCTCCACTAGAAGTCGCTGTACTTCGCGGTTATGGAGAGTGACTCAGACATAATATCAAAACATTATTACTATAAGGCGTATAAAATATTTATAAAATGATTTTTATAGTTGTTCAATATTATTTGTCTTGTATTAAATGATGTGCCCCTCTTTACGCACATCGATAGGATCTATAATCATCTATAGATTGAGTTACACTGAAAGTCGACCTGCCTTCTATCTCTGTCTATTGCACTTGCACGGAAAATACTTTTTTTAGTGGGTGGAAACGGACGACGTGCGTAGTACTTGATTTAACCGTCGCTAGAAACGTCACGTGGCTAATTCTATCGCTATAATAAATTTATAAATAAAAAAAATATTACCGAGAAATTTTAAAACATAGTAATAATTAAAATGGATCAGTGCCAGTTGTAGCAAACAGTCTGTTGGTCATAACCGCCCTAACCTGTGTGATGGCATCATTTTATAGAAAACACTTAAAATTTAAAAACAAAATGTTGCTAACATATTTTTGAAGTTTTCTTGATAAGACCTCTAAAAATTATAGATGTCATGTTTTATTATCTTTTTTCCATATTTTCTATTTCTTGTTGCCTTCTAAACTGATACGCCTATAGATTTTCTATCCCCGTACGCTTCATCCTCCTTACTAGTCCAAGAGCTAGCAACGAGTCACTCTCCATACACTGTGCTTCTGAGCGAGTTTAAATGAAATTTTCGAGTCACTCCAAAATAATAAGATATCCTGTTTCTACAATGCTTGAACATCATTTTAAGCCCTGAACCAAAATATTTGGTGTGGCGCTTTTTTTCCGATGGCAAAATAAGAAATTTGATATTTTTCAACTATAAAAATTTTACTTCAAAAATCAAAAAGAGTTATTTTAACAAAGTGAAAACTATTAAGCCAAAAAAATGCATGGACTTTGGGGGTTACAGCTATATCAAAGTTCATATAACTTTTCCTGAATTCTTCAATATGACTTACAAACTTTTCATCAAGTTCCAATGAAAAACAGCTGTTAACAACTATGTATATTCAACTTTCTGAAACAGTAGAAAAACTTAGCACAATTTAAACGTTTGAAACTGACCAAAATGTCAACATTTTTAAGCAATGTTTTGCCAGCATTTACTGTAAGTAAATGAAGTTTTTTCTCATGATAAAAGATTTTTGTTTGGAAAAAACAAATTATTAGCTTATTACAGCAAACAAGCTACAAAATCCGCACACTCAGATTTTTCAAAAATATGGAATCGACACAAAATATCAAACATTCATCCTGAATATTCTATGAAATTATTACGTGCTTTATGCGATTACAATGCCTCTCATATATAACCGTGTCATGTATCAGTTGCGTGTAAAAATACACTTAATCATTTATTCAATTGATTGAATTCTACATACGAATCAATTATTAATTTTGCTGTAAATTATGTTTGTACCATTATAATAACTACTTTTTATTTTGTGTATATAAAATAATAAAACATTTAATATACAATACTGGCTTAATAGATTTCACTTTGTTAAAATAACTTACAAATCTCTTTTTGATTTTGAAGTAAAATTTTTATAGTTTATAGGAAAAAAAAAGCGCTACGCCAAATATTTTGGTTCAGGGATTAAAATGATGTTCAAGTATTATAGAAACAGGATATACTATTATTTTGGAGTGACTCGAAAATTTCATTTAAACTCGCTCAGGAGCACCGTGCATAATTTCGACGCGAAAAATAGAGTTAGATAAATTGAAGGCAATGATTTATTGCCTAATTGAAAGATTTTTCAGAAATTAGATGATTAAAATCAAAATACCGATTAAATCTATATTATATGAAAATTTTGATAACTAGAAACTTAAATAAGGTCTCATTTTATGCAATATTTTTATTATGAGTTCAAATATTATTTGTTTGTTAGTTTAGATGAATCTGGAAACACTGAAAGAATTGCTCATAAAAATGCAGCAAAGCTGACTAACGTCTAAGTATAGGTAGCATTTTCAAGCGCACCTGTACAATTCTTATGCGACGACGGCTAGAAGTAAAATGATTAATGATTTAGATATTTTTCATACGTTTTTACAAGGAAAACCCTGATCTAACTTAAACTTAGTTTAATTATTTTCTTTCTTAATAATCAAGAAAAGCTTGGCTGTGGTATGGAACATATAAAATCGACATTGCGCAAGCGTATATCAAAATGTCTAGCTATGTGTAGATGCAAATGTGAAGCTGACTTGCACAAGTTGCGACTGAGACAGACTAAAATATTCTAAATATTATTATGTTTGGCATTGGATTTCAAATTTTACACTTAATACATACACAACGCATATTTTGATTGTTTCTAGGACTTAAATAATCAAAATGACAAAATAGAAAAAACAAGTGTCATAGAACCTGGTTTTATGTTATGGTATAGTTAAGAAGTTGGAAAACATCACATTACATAGGACATAAGAAAATCGAATAAGGTAAGGACTCCAAAACCTAACCTCAAAAAAAGTTGCGACAAATTATTCCGGTTTGCAGCATAACATCCTGTATAAATTATGCTGTCCAATCGAACTGGAGTATTTAATGCCTCTCAAAACATTTTTCAAATTTCAATAAGATATTCTTATTGCTTTTGGAGAAATATATTTAAAATAATAATAATTTAATGTAGTGATGCGAGTGAAAATATATAACAAATTGATATATATCAATTTTTGATACATATCAGCTATTATATATATGTTAATAGCTGATATATATCAATTTTCCCGCCATTTCATCAATAAAGCCAAATTTTAAACTTAACCTTACATTTTAAAACTAAAAACTTGTGGTGTGGTAGGCTTGGGTTGGACTGTAGTAGCTCTTGAGTACCTGGCATATCTCCGTCAAAAATTAATATAAAAATCTGAAATTTTAGGGGTGTACTATAGATGGGAAGATCTAAGAGCGCACGTAATTTCAAGTCACCCCTTCCACCCTAGGGGGTGAGGGGTGTTTTTTTTTAGATGTACCCTATTCATTTTGCGAGTTTCGGATTCTACGCGTAAAACTACCCCCGAAAGCGCGTTCTTGCCGAATTCACACAAAAACCAAACCACCACCCTCGTATGGACTTTGTCGTTTTTTCGATGACCATCGTTCTTGGGCACATCTCCGTCAAAAATAAATATAGAAATCTGAAATTTTAGGGGTGTACTATAAGTGGGGAGACCTAAGAGTGAACGTGATTTCAACTCACCCTTTCCACCCTAGTAGGTGCAGAGGGGGTGAGGGGTGGTCTTTTAAACGTACCCGCAAGAACGCGTTTCCGGGGGTAGTTTTACGCGTAGAATCCGAAAATCGCAAAATGAATAGGGTACATCTAAAAAAAACACCCCTCACTCCCTCCTCACCCCCTAGGGTGGAAGGGGTGACTTGAAATTACGTGCGCTCTTAGGTCTCCCCGTCTATAGTACACCCCTAAAATTTCAGATTTTTAAGTACTACTTTAAAGCAGTTTCTTTATTATCATAAGTTTTTGATAATTTTTATTTCAATTTCTATCTTTAATTTTTTTTAAGTACCTATTGTGATATACAAAGACTAAATTTTCTTGTTCTAGAAATTTCCCATTTTTTATTTGTGGGTTGATAAAACTAAATTGCTAATAAACAGCGTACTTGCTTATAAACAGGCATTGTATCATATTAAGTACGCAACAAAAATTAGAAGTCATTACCATCATAATTATAATGAATTTATTAATTAAAACAACAACCTATTTCAAATAGATTATTACTTTTACTATAAAGTGTCTTAATGTAAATATGATAAAAAAAAAAAAAAAAATTCCAATCTAAATATGAAAAAAAATAAAGATCACTTGATAACTTTTCTAAAAGTTCATATATATGACATGTATTTGGTGTCAAATTAATCAGCAAGGCATTAGCAATATAAAAAAACTAATTTGAGTATAGTTTTTTTTTAACAAAATTCATCTGATATATATAATGATATATATTTTGATATATATCACCTAAAACTAAATAGCATGCTATTTTACATCACTAATTTAATGTTATTTTATCTATTATGTAGGGGTCGTGGAATATTTATAGTATGTTATTTTGAAACATCCCGTATAGAATTTTATGATAATTTTAATTAAAATAAACAAAAATATAATTCTGTCAAGGCACAGCCTTCAGAAAATTTTGAGACATCCTTAAATATCTAAAAAATGTTGCAACGTCGATTCGTTGCCCAATAATCACACTAAATTACACAACTTGAGAAAACGGGAGATGTGCATTTCGGTAAGATTAATACTCATTAGAGATTAATACACTTTACTACATTGTATTAAGAAAAACATCTCAACAACCTACGTGTTATGTATCTAACTAAATCTCACAATATCGGGACACGGGACAACAAAAATCGTTAGTGTTAGAAGAGAAGCACAACACAAAACGTTACCACAGCAGTTCGAGACAATGTTTTGGACCAACGCCGACATCATTCTTTACCTCTTGGGCAACCTTAGTTGCGTCCGCGAGAGACATTCCAAACAAAATGGAGTTGGCGCCATGAATGATGTCGATGCAACTACGTTTTTCTTTTTTTGGAGGTATATTTGGGCTGGCAGAACAAGCCAATTTGTACTTGTTCTCCTATGGACAATGTAACACCACTCAATACTGCCCAGTCACCCCCCTCTCTTAGTCAGGCATTAATAATATTTGGGAGTATCAATATTCATACCTACGTCTTTACTATTCAAGTTAATGTCAAACTTATAAAATTTGCCAATAAAGTCATTCAAATATCATGAAACAGAAATAGAAGCTTCAGGAAGATTATACAAATACTGCATGGATATTCTGAATAAAAAATTTAAATACGTTAAAAGTTAACGGTTCTTTGGTGCCTCGAAAAATTTATTGCAGGAAGAATAACCAATTAACAAATTAAGTTACCAAAATGACAAAATAAATCTCAGAGGGATGAATTTTTCTGCAATTGTCATCACAGTTTTTTTACAGGAAATAATAAACTTTATCCATTAGGTTAAATGGGTTTAAATAGACGCAATTAAAATGTAGCAACAACACGAATGTGAGAGGGTAACCACTTCTCAAAATATGCGTACAAATTGCCACAAAATACATGGCATTACCCCACAGTATAACTGAATTAAGTGGCACTACTTCGCATTACCTCGAATTACCGAAATACAAAGTTCTGCATTACTACGGTGCATCATAATTCCAATAAAACATGTAACAGGAGAGTAATTCATTTGTTTAAAGCGTAACACTTTGCACGAGTGTATCTCAATTATCCATTTTAAAAAATTATACAAAAAGACAGAGAGACATATTCCATTCTGCTTAAAAGGAATCTCAATTTAACAACATTCACTTCATATGATGTTTAACGTTTGTTACAACTTTTCTTAATTGATTAGCATTAAGTAGATAATAAACAATAAATTTATAGGTTGTTTTTTCAATCACAACTTCAAAGGCGTTCATTGGATCATTTTAGCTCAAAGAATATTAATGACGCGTGTACAAATTTTTAAAAAGTAAAGCTGTATTTAGGTGAAAAATGGTCGTATCGGGAATTAAAAAAAAAGCTATTTGAAGATCTAAGATTCCAGTTTTTAGATCTTTTAGTAGAAATTTTTTAGGAGCTACGGGTATCGTGCAATTCTAGGAAATAGCGTGACAAAAAAATTTTACACTCTTGGAAAAAATTTTTTCAGCAAAGCCATTGTATGGACCAAATACCTTGTTTATTCAGCTTCAATTTCCTCTTTTTTTTTAATTTTGATACGATCATTTTTCATCGAAATATCGGACTTTTAATGGAAATGGACCGTTTTGTCTTCAATCATCGATATCTCGGCGACAAATGGTTAGAGAATTGAAGGACTGGAATAAATTTCCCATACCCCAAATGATGACCCAAACCAAATTTCGACCTCACCTCGATTCATATCGTTTTTTAAGACAAATTTCTAATTAATTTTAAAAGTTTTTTTCAAAACTACCCGTTTCCTTCTTTTGTTTTCATCAATTTAAACGTTTTTTTTCCTGTTTATTAAAATTCGTGTAAAAAAATAAATTTTTTTTCCGAAAAGTTGCGGCAGCATGTTTTAGGAATTTTATTCCAGTTTTCGAAACTGCCCTTCAATTATCTGTACGACCATTTGTTGCCGAGATATCGATGATTGAAGACAAAAGGATCCTTTTCCATTAAATGTCTGATATTTCGATGAAAAATAGTTGTATCGAAATTAAAAATAAATAAATAAATTGAAGCTGAATAAACAAGCTATCTGGTTCATGCAATAGCTCTGCTGAAAAAAAATTTTCCAGTGCTAGAATTGCATGATAACCATAGCTCATAAACAATTTCGACCGAAAGATCTAAAAACTAGGATCTTAGAGCCTCAAACTGCTTTTTTTTATTCCCGAATACGACCATTTTTCACCTAAATACAGTCTGTCAAAAATCACGGAAAAATTTCGGAAATTCTTTTGACCCCTTTTCCATTAAATGTCTGATATTTCGATGAAAAATAGTTGTATCGAAATTAAAAAAAAATAAATAAATTGAAGCTGAACAAACAAGCTATCTGGTTCATGCAATAGCTCTGCTGAAAAAAAATTTTCCTACCCGTGCTCAGAAAAAAAAGAAAATTTGCAAAATTTTTTTCTCACGCTATTAGAATTGCATGATAACCATAGCTCATAAACAATTTCGACCGAAAGATCTAAAAACTAGGATCTTAGAGCCTCAAACTGCTTTTTTTTATTCCCGATACGACCATTTTTCACCTAAATACAGTCTGTCAAAAATCACGGAAAAATTTCGGAAATTCTTTTGACCCTCTAATTTTTTGCATTAGTGTATATAAATAACACTTGGGCTAGAAATTTTTGTTCATTAAAGGCAAAAATTCGTTGAATACAAATATGTCAACCAGATACCAGATGTCACCATCATTGAAAATCTTTCAATTTTTACGCTAGCTGCAGTGCACCGAATTATCGCTGTCTTTGTAATACATGTAGTTTTTTAAGTAATTGCCCTCTCACATGATTCGCTTAGTGACTTCAATACATTTTTCTTCAATCCCTCTTAATAACAGTCATTTTGTGAACAAGTTTAAAAAAAAATCAGTAAACGGGAAGGGGAAAAAAAAGAAGACATAACATAAAACAGAATATTAACGAGTAGTGTGTTTAGTCGTGTTAGTGAGGAATGTCGTGTTCTTGTTCCAGTTAACACAAAAAAAAGTTGTTACATTTACTCCAAGTTCAATTCAAAAATATTTTCACACAACTTGGACAAAAGCCAAAAAGCTAAAGAGAAGCTGGGAAGCCTTCATGCATTAGTGCATTATTTAAAAAAATAAAAAAAAACAGTTCAAATAAAAAGTATTTGACATAGATGTAAGATCAACTAAAAAGAGAACTTGCATAACTAAAAGTATAAAAACTGCAGTATAATTTTTAAACTGACATAAAAAAATAAAAAATAAAACAACAAATAATTATTATTTTAAGTAAATTAGATTTTAAATAAAAAAATATAAATATATTTGTGTACATCATTAATTATTAAAAAACTGGTTTCGTTTAAAACATAATGTCCAAATAAAATTGACTGCAGATTTATATTTAGAAAAAAATGTATTATAAATACTTTTTATTTGATAAGGTGACAGAAATACCTAACATAATATATTTAAATTTATAAAAATAGTCAATGTGCTTGTTACAGCATTTCTATCACCAGTACTGAAAATAAAAACTAGCAAAAAAAATATACAAAAAATATACATCATCAAAAACTTATCAATAAATACCTGTGTCTTCAGCTGATCTTTCAACCAGGTAAGATAAAAGTGCAAATCCGAACGTTCCATAGGAGTATGAGACCAACAGGCGATTTTAGCAATAATTCTGGAAGTCATGTTAGTGATGAAACCATCCTGACGGTTCAGCAGGTTCAAAAATGGACCCCAAACAGACTCCTTCTTTTTATTTGCATACTCGTGGAAAATTTCTACACGAGAGCGATCCTCCTACAAAATTGGTTTTGTTTAAAACGATTTTTAAAATTATTCTTTACGAAAACAACTTGTGTCACTTCGACTCTCTGACTACTGTCACCTATTTAAACTAACCTGTAGCATATCATCAACAAGAACCAAGATATACTGCAATGTTTGGTCTTTTGAAACATGTCCCAGCAAATTTAAGAATGTTTGTGCGCACTGATTGCGGTCCCTTTTCAGTAAAGCTTCTCGCTTTGCACTATCGGGCACATCAAACGCAGATATAAAGCTGTAGTCCTCCTGAGATATCATTTGGGACCTAAAAAATTGAAACAAAGTTTTAGCTGTTACAAAAATAGAACAAAGCTAAACTTACTGTAAATATGGTTGCCAGTTAACCTTCTGACTTCTTATGTCTGTAGCCCTTTGCTGTAGGACACTGGTAGCTGCCAACATATCTGAAATCCCAGCCATATTAATAGATAAATCTTAATTACAATATTACCGTGAAAATTTGTAACAATTTTTTTGGAACTTTTGGATCTTCCAAAAATACTTGGACTACGTCAAATTTTTGTGGTCACTGGTATTGCGTTCTTGATCGAGTCACGTGAATATAAAACACGCCTATCTTTTGAATAAATCGTTAAATTTTAATTGTGCTCAATTAAAGGAGGCATAAAACAATATTTTATTTCAAATAAACTAATACAAAATTAATCAGGAAGCTGAAATTTGTAAAGTTACAAACGGCCGTAAGTGGGTAGGTCGATCAATTTAAAAACATAATTTACCAATTTTATCATCGTCTAGGGATGTGATTATTTCTTTAATTTTAGGGTCTGCCCCCGCAGCGAGGTTCGATGCCATTTTGGACAAAAGACACGCACAAGAACACTAGTAATTAATAAATTTACACAAATTCACTTTACTTGCAGCCCTACACAGCTGACCAAAAGTCTTGTGATTATTGACGAAAGTTTGCAACCTTGCAACTATCTAATCAACAACCGACTATATAGCAGCAAGAAAGATAGAGATATCAACTTATATTGCCAGCCTTACATCGACCCGGGCATTTTAAACCCGAATAAAATGGAGTTAATTGAGCCTAAGCCGAAAAAGCATTGCAGATTACCCCAAAATATTCCCCTACCAGTAATATTGAAAAAAGATGGTACTTTATATAAATTTAAAGGTATTTTTAATGATTTTTGTGTCATAGTTGAGGATGAACAAGATATGAAAAATATTATTTCAATGGGATATTTTGGAAAGGCAAATTTGTCAAGAAGTTATCCTCAGTTTAATCAAAGCAAAACAGAAATTATTAGAGAAAGACAATATAAAAGACGAAAGGATTGGGCTAAAAAGAATTCAAATAAGAAGTCAAAAAAGAAAGTTATAGTAGTTCCAGATAGCGACGAAGAAAAATATTATTTTATAAATTTACAACCACAGTATCAGATAGACGAATCTAATGTTAAGGAAACTGTTTGGTTGAGCCTGGAAGAATCGTTCTTTCTAAGTAGTATTGTAAAATGTTTACATGTTTATTATGAAGGTAAATCTTTAAGGATAGATGAAATGTGGACTATGTTTTCTGCTACTGATCCACATTTTATTCAGAACTATATTGTGTATTATCATTTTAAAGCGAAAAACTGGGTAGTAAAGCCTGGTATCAAATTTGGAGGAGATTTCTGTAAGTAAGGACATACATATAACTAAAAAAAAATACTAAATCTTTTTCAGTGCTCTATAAACAAGGTCCTCCATTCTATCACGCCTCATATGTTGTGGTTATCGACATTGTAAACGAAAATTTGGAGAGAATCGAACATTTTTCAAGAAGATCTATGGATAACGTGCCTTTATTAAGTTTAAATCGATTATGTGAAACTGCTGGAAAAGAATTATTAATTTGTCAAGTCATTTGGCCCCAAAACGTTCACATTGATTACAAGAATATTGCAGATGTAATTATAAAGGAAAATGTTATGAGGAGGTGGATTTCTAGTCAAGAAAGAATTGCTGAAGATACTTAAAACTTTTAATCTTTGTTTCTACTATAATAACGATTATAAAAAAAATCACATAGAAGACCCTATTCTTTGGCTTCCTAACTGTCTCTGTTTCTGAGGGATCCCCGTCCTCCTATATTCTGATCTTTCCTCCAAGTACTCCTTTGTGCATTTGGCTTTAAAATCTTCGTCTTGATACCATCTTGTTAAACATTCCTTTAAAGCAGCGGTTTCTTGTTTGCATTTAAACGTCATTAATATTTGGTTTGATTTGCAACATTCAGTAAACTGTTCGACTTCCTTAACACACTTTTCAGTTCTTGCTATATCCCGCATCTTTTTAGCAATAAGAACGTCTTTCTCAACTATTCTCAAGGACAGGTCATCCGGATCGCCTAAAAATTTGAATTGTGCGTTTAAGACACATGAGGGGTAATTCGTTTGGCTGTTGTAATTGCAAAGCAAATAATACGTAATATTTTCCAAAAAATGTTGTTATAAAATAATTTTGATATATTCAATGCTTTAAAGACGTACTCTAGAATTTGAGCAAATTTTACCTAAACCATGAGGACCACCGCAATATTTACTTCGTAAAGGATTTTTCTTCTCCGTTTGTTCTGTCATAGTTATATCATCAAAAAAATAAATTCCAAAATATTGAAGTAAATTATCACTGAAGTAAATATACAAACATAACCTTACTTTTTTCACAGAACACCTGTTCTGTGTAGAGATGTGTTGCTCTTTCACTGTCTGCTACTTTGGCACTGTTCCGCTGCGACAAAAGAAGCAGTGATTTTTCGGAGCGTTTACTGCAAAGAGTGCAAAGTGCAATTTACTAGCGCCAGAGACATAGCTCAGGCGTGCCGGCCACAGCAGAGCAAATTCTCGCTCAGCCGTTGCGATCTGCGCTTGAATTAGTCACAGTGTCACACACTAAACATATAATACAGTCGCGTTTGATTTAAAGACATTGTATTTCAGCGACTAGAGCAATGCATGTATTGCTGGTTGCTGCTCTACAAATATTTTAAAAGTTTTTGTTTACAAAATCACTTCATTTGTTTTTGTTGCACTCGCGGAAAAATTTTGAATATCTGGCACTGTACTCACTGTAGAATGTCGTCGTTCTATGTGTCTTTTTAAATTGATGATTTAAGATTTATAACAAATATTTTGCTTGCATAAATTACAACAAGCTTTACTTTCATGCGTTGGTAAAAATAAATTCCACAGGAGAGATTTTCTTCGTTTATCCATATCCAATTTTATTTGTAATAAAAATTTATTAGTAGTAACTTAGGACAAAATAACAGATCACTACGCTATATCAAATTCAAATAAATAATGCAAAAGCGAAATAACAAATTGAGCTAAATCTACAAAAGTTGGCACATGCTTGAAAAACAGCGCGTAACGAAAGTATCGCTATTCCCTAACGCTAGCCGCCAGGTGTCGATTTATGAACTCTGACGCGGAAATAAGGGAACATATCACGGTAGGAATGTATGCGCGCGCTACCAGGAGCTGTTCCGAAAAATCGCAGCTATTTGTCACCGCTCTGTTGCCGGAACAGTAGCAGGTGTCACTGCTCCGCAAAAAGAGCAGTTTAGCCCATCTCTAGTTCTGTGCTCTTTTTTACTACCCACCCACGGATGTTCCTTTCGAGTTAACTAACTCAACAAAACAAGGAACGGTGCATCCGAATTGAAAGCAATTTGGTTTTTGATCAGCAATGAAAACCCATCTACATACAAGGCATGAAAATCGGAATGGAATGTCTCTTTACCGCCAATAAAAAGAAGTAATCCTGTTTAAATATCCACGTGAAGTGATCTAACAGTGAAAATGGATTCGTTCTAAAATTCTTATAACATTCCGGCCTTCAATGCCATGCGGACCCAAAACACATGCTGTGTGTGCCCAAAGTTTTTAGAGATGCGGATCCGCCCTAAGGATTTACTTTCCTATGTGACCGCCATTATTCCATAGCTAGAAATTGGCCTAAATGATTTGGGATCGAGGGGGATTATCCCTCTTTATACTGCCTCATCTCGCGTAGGCCTGGACAGCCTTCGTAGGTGAGCCCCATCCGTCGTCTACACCCGACCGCAAATGCGGCCGGTGTAGGCGCTTTGTGGGACCTCCTTTTGTCCTGGCTGGGCCCCGCCGGCTAGGGCCCTTTCTTCTGGCGCTCTTCTTGCTTCGCCGGATCGTCTGTGTAAACCCCGGGGGTGGTGTCATGTTTATGTGTGGTATGGTTGGGTAGGGTAGTTCCTACCTACGCCACCGAAAATTCCGCATCCAAATCCAGGATTCCCTTTCCACCACCCGTCCCATAAAGGCCAGGCCGGTGTCCCCCAGGACACCGTCCTGTCCCCACACCTATACACCATTTACAACTCCGACATCCCACATCCCCCCAACACCAACATATACTTATACGCCGACGACCTGACAATCACATCCCAATCCGTAGATCCTAGATATTCCGTCTACCTCCTCCAAAGCTCCTTAGACCAACTTGAAACCTGGTGCAACAGGTGGAAAGTCAAAATTAATCCCAACAAAAGTTCGGCTATCCTTTTTACCAAACGAAAAATCCCACAAAACCTCGACAGACTGACACTATCCCAGGAACCCATCTCCTGGAATCGACAAACACGATACCTGGGCGTGACGATGGACCAGCGTCTCACGTGGAAACCGCACATCGTGGAGACGGTGGCGCGAGCGAAGACCACCAGGGCTAGGCTCTATCCCTTACTCAAAGGTGGAAACACCCTCAGTTTAAGGAATAAGCGAACGCTTATCAAGGTGGTACTTCAACCGCAGCTAACCTACGCCTCCACGGCGTGGGGTCACGCGGCAAAAAGCCACTTAAAGTCATTACAGGCTGTGGAAAACATAGCCCTCCGCACGGCCACCGACGCGCCCTGGTACGTAAGAAACACTGACATATTACGAGACTTACAATACACAAACGCTACACAGACAATAAGACAAAACGCGGAGAAACGATTTGACGTAGCCGCTAGACATGACAATCCCCTCCTCAGGCAAGCCGTTGACTACGTACCCGACGTGACCGACAAACACAAAAGACCTAGACACCAACTTTTTGACCCTGGGTGAC